ACTGGTGGTGGAATTCTATCGAGTATAATAGCTGGTAATGATAGTGGGTAGAAGTTGTGATGAAAAGGCCAAACAAAGAGAATGTCTTTGTATTTTGGTTCAGTGATGGTGCCAGGAATCGCTGTAGAGAAAACGGGCGACCCTTATATGAGTTCTTCCTATTTCACAACCCAGCGCCAGGACGGGAGAGGGGCAGCGCTGCAGCAGGGGTTTCACGCCCGCCGCCATTTGGGGTAACCCAAATAGTAAGCCCACCGGTGCAGCAAACAAGCGGATCTGTGGGGTAGTGAGGTAGTGTGCCCAGGAAATTTAGCACCATCGAGGATACAAGACACTCAAAATCCACAGGACGAATCACGATGAAGCAGCGCCAATGTCGATGGCAAAACTTTTACGTGAACTGTGTAATTCCAGGGCGGTTAGGCTTGGGCTAAGGAGGATACTAAAAAAAGATTAAAAAGAAAAGGTTAAACAAAAACCCTAGAAGATGTTAGGACATACATGTCTGGCCCGGTACCAAAGAACGCCGACGGACGATGATAGCATTTCAAGGGCCACAAACCGAATCAAAAAAGAAAAAAAGGGAACGAGGTCAAGTCCGAGCCTCAACCAAAGAAAATCAAAGTTTCAGTCCAGCGCTTCACCCGCAGAGCAACCTTGGCCGCCGAAATGCCTACCATTGATAAAAGGGGCTGCTGAATTGACCACGAGTCTATGCTAGTTATGTATAACTACTCCTTACGTGTGTTCTGTTTACGAGCAAGGTTTTAAAAAACAAATGATTTTAATACGCAGCAGCTGAACAAGGCTTCAGTAAACACCGGCCCCCAGTCTATCTTGCCGCATCTTGCGCATCCTAGGCAAATCGAGCACTGACATAAACTGCATACATCTTCAGCAAGTTTGTCGCTCAATTTAAGAATGCTTGTTCCCGCTTCGATCGGGTCTGTGTTCGCTGCTCCTTTCATGTCGAGTGAGGTTCTTCCATATCCTGGTCATAGAGGGTCCAAGCAACCTATTTTCGCTTGTGGCGCTGGGCATGATCAGGCTAAGTAAAATAGTTTTTAACTTACCGCCGAGGCACAAACACCAACCCCTGGGCCCTGGAGGTGTTGTCTCTCTCTGAAGCACCCAGTTCGCCGAAGGATCTCCAGCGTTGCACAACCCGTCAAGCACGACAAATGGGCGCCAGTTTAGCTATTACTTGTTATCCCATGGGTGGCTATTTATGGGCTATATTACCGCTTTCTAACCTCTTTGAGCAACTCCTGCTTGCCTGTTGATGTTGGAAAGCGGGGAATGAGAGAGAAGCGAGGGAGGAGAGGACATATAACGGAGAACAGAGGTTGTCTGCAGTATCAGCACCGAATACCATGCTGTGGTCACCACTCTTCAGTTAACTAGTCTATGTTTCCTGGAGACATCATCTGCCTTTGCTGGCTGACTCGTTTTCATACAAACCTTATCTTGAATGATAATAACTTGAATATAATACTGTATCTACGAAAGGTCAATCATTGTAAATACCTTCTTGTAATATAATATTCGACATTCGTTGCTTTACTACGTATGCAGTACCATGGTCATGGGCTCTCCAGAAATCAGAAGCATTGGCGGCGACCGCTTCTCACAAAATGTTTAAATAAATAAAAGAAACAGCAAAATCCGTCACATCACTGATGTCATAGCCCCTTCAAAATCCCCCAAAACAAGTCATGTGGACGGGCTACAGGCGCTGCAAGTCGTCCGCGATCCTTACCATCTGCATGCTGTCATGATTGTTCACACTCCCTTTCTCCCTGCATCAGGCTAACCGGCTGACGGTCTGAGTTTAGCTTTGGTGCCATCAGAATTTGTTTCTTGGCTCCAGGGGAAACCCGCCGTTTTTTATCCCGCTTCCCTCGCTTTGCACAGCAGGCAGGTCTGAGACAAGGCAAGGTACAGAATACCTGACCACAACTCTCAGCACTAGTAGTTACTTGTCTCGATCACATTGTTATTGTTATATCTGTCAGGTTTTGATCACCACTGCTGAAGCTTCGAAGCATGATCCTACCTCTAACCAAAAGGAGAGAATGCTTTTGAATGCCCACTGGTAGTCACTTCACTCAGTCGAAATAATGGGTTTGGCCACACAGATGTCATTGGCGAGAGGGGTTCATCATGATCATTGGCTCCAGAGCGCCGAAATTTCTCCTCACTGTCTCTCCATGGGACTGAGTTGATCCCGTTCATTGCTTGGTTCTTCCACCACGAATGATTGACCGCTAGTGGTAGCGGGAGCAGAGAATTGTCTGAACCGTCAACGTGCGTGATCTCAGTTTCCCCCTCTTTCCTCCCCTTTGGCGTCTCTTCCGCTTTCTGTCCCAACTACGTCTGTACGGAAGTTGTCAGTCAGTGCCAGGGCCCTAAATCTGCCAGCCCAGCGGTAGCGCTTTAATGTCAAATCTTCACTCCTTCTGCGTTATTCACCCTTACCTTCTCATGACGACGGATTGTGGCTTGCATGTTGCTATTCAATCAATGTATAGTGATTTCTTTCCGCGTGGCATGTTGCTTGCAACCCCCTCCTCTTTTTTCTTTAACTATAACTCGCCTGCTTTCTTGACTTGTTGGTCCCATTTGTTGGGCTGAAAAGCTGCACTTCGCCCAATTCGGGCTTAATAGATGGATTTTTATGGTGGAGGAAGCTTTTTCTTTTATGCAGGGCCTTCCTAGTAGGAACGACAACGGTTCCCTCGTAATGGTACCGGCTATGCTACTAAGCTGCTGACAGGGTTGATTGAGGGGGCGGCTTGGTTGCTGAGGGGAAACGTCCTGTTTTCATTGTTCCTCCAACTGACGATGTAGGTTTCGGGGTTCTTTTTTGTTGCGGACAATAATTTACACAACTGCGCGGTTCCCAGTTGCTCCAGGTGCTAGCTACGATTCTTGCATAGAGAGGGTTTGCGGCTTTCGTATGATACGAACTCTGTTTCATATGGCGCACACGTGGATAAAGGGGGCCTGTCACTACATATCGTATAGTTCATAACATGGCTCGGAGGAGAGCGGGGATGCGTCGCCCCAGCATTTTAACAGGCAGCTCCGGAAACAAATCCCATGATGTTTTGTGCCGCACAGTTATATATCTGGAGAATCCAACATGGATGGCTGTTGCTGTATAAGAGGGAACTGCCAGGGTACTATATTATTCAACATCGTTACGGTGCGGGATAGAGAGATGATTTTCCCCTCCCGCGAAGAGGGGTGTACCTTAGTTCAAAGGAACTCGAAGAATCCCAGGCACGCCTATTGCTCTGCAGCATTTAGAGGCGTAGCGTGAAGTCTACTACCATGCCTTGGGACACGGAGATACCACGATCGTTTTTCTAACAGAGGGTCTGTGGATACGAACGACGATTCCCCAAGACTTGCTGATACTCGGTGAGCGAAAGGGAATATACTCATGCTGCCAACTACCTAAGTGGCTAACTGTCCACCAGCTTCCGAGGGCGTTTTATAAGCCAATTTAAAATAGTGTCACCAAAATTGCATTGCGCGGGAGTTTTGGTGTGGCATAAGTTTGTCCCATTGGGACCGTGTGCCTTGAATTCATCCAGAAGGCGAGGAGCCAAATCGCGTCCAAGACACTGATGAATAGACGCAGACAAAGGCAGAGGCTCAGAAAGGGACCGAAGAGCTTTAACTTCGTTTAATAGTCCATCCGATTGTTCTGAATCTGCAATGCTAGCTTGATAGCAGCTTAGGCTAGGGGGGAGCCAAATCGTTGAGTAGTCTCCTTAGACATTCCCCCACAGGCTTGCCACTCGAACTCACTCGATCGAACAAGCGCAAGGACACCAGAAGTGTCGAGTTTTGCTTTTAATTGAGTATGTGCATATTTTGGAGGACGTTGGTCTGAGAATGGTTGCCGTGGATGGCTTCCTTTTCTTCCCAGGTTGCCACTCTGCGGCCTGTCAACTTTTACACTCGACCTACATGTGCTCCAGTAGCATTACCTGGATGAATGGAAATAATGAATCTTGCCAGAGAACAATGTATGAATCTTGAATTTATCGAGCTGATGGTCCATCTCCAACCGACCCCCAAAGCCCTTCCAATTTAGTTGCGGGCAAATTACCATAAAACATGCATATCATATACCCATCCAACGGACGGACTTGTTCCGCATAACACCTCCTAAAACACCTCATATCGCCCCTATCAACACTGATAAACTACCCCAACTCATCCAGGCCCCCTCCCCCTCATCTCCGCCGAAATCTCATTGACACTCCGCCGCTTCAGGACCCCCTTTGGCCTCTCTTTCCCGCTCAACATCCCCTCCTACTTCTGTCACCATCTACCTCGGCCATAACCGCAGGGACTAGCGCTTCCCCCCGACCTACATCCAGATCTAGCGTAACAACTGCCCACCGACGCGATAAACTCCCAATCCACTTCTCAGAAGTCCGGTGCTGGGTCCCGAACTTTACCTCCAGGTACGCGGCGAGCTCGCGGCTGCGTGGTGCTAGATAGCGGACGGAGCAGATACGGTAGTAGCCGGCAAAGGAGAGGGGGGCATGGTATTGCCTTGGGGCTGATTGGGGAACGAAGATGGGGTAGCTAACTATGGTGGTGGTGGTGACATTCAGTGTTGCCGCGAACGACTCTGGGAGAAGATGAAGGTTCGACTTGCACAAAATTTCACGCTTTGTTTCCCAAAATGGATGGGCCTCTCTGAAAAGGACTATATATGCCAGCGTGTGTGGATCATTGGCGGTTGTGTTGAGGGTTCCTTGCCATCGCTGTCGCTGTCGCTCTCGCGGTGAACATGTAGTGGTGGTTGCTGGGGCCGGGGGTTTCCCACATTTTGAGAAACTTTTATTGTAGTAGTAGTTGCTGCTGTTGCTGCTGTTGAGATTGTGGAGCGTGTCGCAAACGCCGTGCCGGAATGAATGCCCGAAGTATGTTTCCGTACCTTTCAGTTGGTAAGATGTAGACATTGAGTTCAGAGGTTCCTGCTGGTCCTGGGGTTGCTGTTGCTTGTCATCGATTTCCCCCTTATTGTTGCGGAGGGCTGGAGGGATGTATTTCCCGGTTGCCATTGTCATTATATGCTATGCATGGAGTATTTCACTCTGAGGCGCTTATTAGGAGGAGGAATGATGGAGGAGGAATGATGGAGGAGGAATGATGGAGGAGAAGACCAAGTAGGCTCATTTCCTTGAAGAGATGAAGAGGTGAAGTTAGATTCGTAGCAGTCCAAACTCTTGGGAAGAGAAATAACACGAAAAGAAACCCAGGACGGCGTGGCTGCTGAGCCAACCATGTATCCCATGGATGGTCCATACTTTATAGGAAATGGATATCGTGGATAACTGATTATCCATACTCATTCCGGTGGCGATGAGTATATAGTATATTCTGATAGCAACAATGCTGCAGCGGTGCAATATAAAATATAAAGCGAGATCGATGCACGCTTCGTCCATTTCTAGCTATAGGGAAACAAAAAGGTGATCTCTAGTAGATGCACCATGAAGGGTCCATCTTGTTCTTGACATGACATCCTCCTCGAGAACGCCTACTGTCTGGATGAAATTCGATTTCATAAATATTATCCATGAAAAGATAATACGAGGGCTTTGACAACTTCAAAGCCTCTAGTCAGCTTCTGCAATATACATTAACCTTGAAGCTGCCGCTATCATCATGAAAATTGCAAAAATGAATGCAGTTTAGCTTATCAAAGGGCCATCATGATCTTCGTCTATCTTGGGCTTCTTAGGTTAAGGTTAAAAGTTATTTAGAGTTAGTGTTCGACCAGACTTATTAAATCAGCCAGTTAACACAGTTCTTCACATCTTCCGCATTTAATTTTCACATCGTTTAGTCCTTGCAGAGTTATGTTATGATGTTCCAGAGAGAGAGCGATCTTTCACTCTTTCATCAACCTCCTGCAGCAGCGTCTTGCTCCCCAAACACCCATTTAGCATGCTCGGAATAAGTTCCAGTCGTGGCATTCGGAAGTCGAACGGGAGGAATATCTGACAATTATCGCCTGACCTGACGATCTGCGGAAGCGAGATCTCCAATTCTCGTCTCCTTTACGCAGGTATGCATCCCTGCATACAGCGGGCTCAAGGAGAACCAACTTAGCCACCAAAAGGAACCAAAAGAAAAGCTAGGCCACTCTGGCCAGACCAGCTGCGTCCGTTTCCGTTTCTCACCCACAGAATACACTGGTCCACATAAAACAATTTTTTTGTTTCTTTTTGTAGCGCACTTTGAGAAGCTGGGATGCATCTGTTATTTGTTGGACCGAGATCAAATCCTTCAACCTAGGACTCAAAAGGAGCCCAGACCTGGTCAACACATTCACTATTAATGTGCCGACACTAAAGGTGATTGATCTGTGGGACTTCGATGCTATTGACCCTTTTTTGGCATTCGAATTCGATAGTTAACTAGTTACATCCCATGACATAATCAGCAGGCGAGCGGCTAGGAATCTGCGTTGTGATGGTGCAGAAGAGGACAGGGATGACTGGAGATCCTCATGAAGAACTGCAGGGCTGATGCTGACTGAAAGCCGGATATGCCCAATTCAGGCTGCTGGCAGCATCTCCTTCAATGTGCATAAGGAATAAACCTGCAACAACACCGACATCGATGGTGAAGCATGAGCATCTAGCCCGAGGGACCGCATGAGGCATCATCACTTGGCTTACCTTGCGTGCCGCGGTGCATCCCATCCACCAGTTTAAAAACCAAGATATTGGTTTGGCTATACACTCTCTAAGGTGTATTGGCATGGGACTTCTGATGAAACAGGGCACGAGCCCTTGTGTCGCGAGCAGGTTAGGCGCTTCCGGGGCCGGGGAAGGGATGTTATTTTTGGGAGAGTAATCACACGCCTCGAAGCTGAAAATAACACACCTGCCGCAGTCATTTAATTAATTATTCCCCGACCTCACACGGACACCACACATCCATAAATACATCTATGTACCATAAATCATATCCTTGGTATGGCTTCGATGCTGACCGCTGGAGGGGTGTCAGATTTTCTGTCGCGATGTTCTTCGACTGATTCTAGGTACAAGCAAATATTCATTCCCCTGGAAACGCGCTGGGGTCCTTTACTGTCGACCATGATTCACCAGATACCCAGCTCTCCTTGATTTCTGTCAGCTTCCATATATATCTTTGTTTCCTCCTCTCTGTTTCTTCCGTGAATAGCTCACACATCGGCTCCATCATATCAATTCCTTTTGCATGTTTCAAGTGCATACCACACGTACCACCAGTTTCCTATCGCTGTCATGGCGACCCGCCATCATGGGATCCTGCAATCCATTCTTATTTGGATGCTCTTGTTCCTCCAAGCTATAGCTTCATTTATATCTCCTATCGCCAGGGAGCCACTGCCAATTGCGCGCAAACACGACATCCGGGATGCTGCACCGGGAAAACAGATGATTATTCCCCCTCTTGTAGCAAAAGCTGCCCAATCCGACATCGATGAAGCCAGGCGCCTTGTGGATGCTGCAATTAAGAAAGCTTCGGTCCTTAACAAAGCTCGACTGGACCACCCTATGAGAAATCGCTATTCCTCAACGCGTGCTGCCAAAGCTTCTCGTCGCGATGCATCCAGCAGAGATGCCCTGCTACCACCTCTACTCAAGATTACCAATGAGATAGCTGCAGCTGCAGCTCTCCTGGCTGAGGTAGAGGCCGTTGCTGAAGCCAAAGATCTTTCCAAACCTAAACGCGATTACTCGTACATCGATGCGCTGTATAACCGTACGGCAGAAAAGCAAGCACAACCCTTCTGGATGGAAGATATTGAAAGAAAAGGGGCCTGGCCGTTTGGGAATGACCCTTCCTTCAAGGTGTGATGTCATTCTCGCCCATATTAAGGGGGCTTTCAACGTTATCTAATAGGCGAACTTAGGTTTTCCGTAATGTGAAAGATTACGGGGCAGTTGGAGATGGTGTACATGTAAGTTCCTAGATTATTGAAGGCGAATCAAGTTCTCATCATGTTATATAGGATGATACGGAGGCCATCAAGCGAGCAATTGCAGACACGGGAACATGTGGTGAAAGATGTAATGGCGCTACGGCTAAGAATTTTATCGTTTATTTTCCATCCGGTGAGTTGAAGTTCCGGCGTACTGTTAATATATATACATCTATTAATGACAGGTGAAGGCACATACCTTGTCAGCTCGACTATCGATGTCTATTTCGGAAGCCAGCTAATTGGAAACGTGAGTAATGAATATCATTTGTCATGATTAGGCTTAGTAAATTCTAACAAACTTAGGCAAACGATCGCCCTGTCATTAAAGCTGCTAGTTCATTTATTGGCCTTGGTGTGCTTTCCACAAATCGCTACGTTGAAAACGGGGGTGCCGGCCCGGATGGCAATGCAAAGGAGTGGTATGTTACCACGGTGAGTAAAGCAACAATTCGACCAAAGGTACACTTTGTAGTTACATGTATGCTGATAAATCTGTGAAAAGGGCAACTTTTATCGCCAGATCCGGAATTTCAGAATTGATATTACTGCCACCAGCAGAGATGCATATGTTGCTGCGCTCCATTATCAGGTTGCTCAAGCCACAAGCCTTATGAATGTTGACTTTATCGCTTCTACGGATCCTGGCACCACCCAGCAGGCCATTTGTAAGCGGCCGTGTATACAATTCTATATTTTCTCGTCAGATTCTAATTGCATCTGATAGTCACCGAGAATGGAAGCGGTGGAGCCATTAGCGATTTAACGTTCACTGGCGGAAATTTCGGAATATGTAAGTATTAAACATCTATCTTTCAATTTTCATGTTGACCTATCCTAACTCGTGGATAGACGGTGGGAATCAGCAGTTCACGGCCCAGAGGCTCAAATTTAACAATTGCAAAACAGCCGTACAGATAATTTGGGATTGGGGATGGGTAAGTTCATGATTTATACACCGAAATATGCCCCATTCCATGATTTTTGTTCGCGGGATCATGCAGCAGTTGAGGCTGACGGGTTCTAGATTTGGAAAAACATTGAAGTCACTGGATCCACTACGGGCTTTAAGCTTATGTCTGAGGATTCTGTCCCTCGAACTGGTTCTATTCTGGTGTTAGACTCCATCTTTAGAAATACGGAAACAGCACTCCTCACGTTCCCCGCTTCTCAGGAAAAAGGAAAGGGGACAACAGGAATAACCTTCGACAATGTTGATTTCGAAGCAGTTAAAAATGCCGTCGTAGACAACCAAGGAAAAGTATATCTTGCTGGGAGCGTTCGAACAGTCGATACATGGGCTCTTGGACCGGTATCTTTTGATATGTCCCAAAGAGACTACACCTTAGGGATGAGCTTTTCCACAAAAAGAGAGCCGACATTGGTTACCGATGGGTCAACTTCCCTGCCAAAAGCTCCCTTTTTCGAGAGAGCGAAGCCTCAATATGAAGCAATTCCTGTGTCCAAATTTGTCCACATGAAGGATCGTGCTAAAGGTTCTAACGCCTCTTTTCTCATATTTATTTCATCGTATCATTGCTAACTGCAAAATAGGAGATGGCATTACCGATGATACTGAAGCATTCCAGAGTGTGTTGCTTCAATATGCAGGTAGTGATAATATTATATTTGTCGATGCGGGTTCATATATTTTGACAGAGACAATTACTATTCCGGCTGGAGCCAAAATCGTTGGAGAGGGCTGGCCCCAGCTTGTTGCGTTTGGTCCCAAATTTCAAGATGAAAAGTGGGGGATATTTTTTCACTTGTTATTAAATGTGTGTAAAGCATTTGCTGATGTCGAATCATAGGAACCCACGCCCTCTAGTTCGAGTTGGAAACCGTGGTGATAGGGGTGATGTGGAAATTCAAGACCTCCTTTTCACAACGAAGGGCCCCACTGCGGGCGCCATATTAGTAGAATGGAATATCAAGGCTGCATGTCCAGGGTGTGCGAGCATGTGGGGTATGATCAACTTGTTACTTTTTTTGACTTCAGTACTTTTTCGTGCCTTGTAGCTTGGACTACGACTAATGATTCATGATCTATAGATTCCCATGTACGAATTGGAGGGGCTACTGGTAGCGAACTTACTTCAACAGAGTGCCCAGCGATCACGAGTGGTGTAAATGGTGATGGTTGCAAATCAGGAAGTCTCATGATGCACATTACCGATAGCTCATCGGCATATATGGAAAACGTTTGGCTCTGGACTGCAGATCATGATATCGATGATCCTGACTGGCAAGATAACAACAATACCTTGGTAAGAATATTAATCCTCGTAGCTGGCTCAGTGCTACCGCATGTCTTAACCTACATCAATAGGTTCAAACTTCGATCTACACCGCGAGAGGACTGCTTGTTGAAAGTACAGAGGCAACATGGCTTTATGGGACATCTTCTGAGCATGCACTCTATTACCAGTACAATTTTTACAAGGCTCAAAATGTATTCGCGGGCATGATACAAACTGAATCTCCCTATTATCAGCCAACACCTAACCCGCCTGCTCCATTTGAATCTGCTGTTGGAATCTTCAATGGAGATCCAGCGTACCAAAATTGCCATTGCGGTTCTCCGGGAAATGATGCTGCGTGGGCGCTCCGGATCATTGAGTCGTCTGAGATCTATATCGCGGGAGCAGGGCTATATTCTTGGTTTTCTACCTATACACAGGAATGCAGTAAGTATATAAACTTCCAGCTCCATAGGAACCTACCCCGGTTCAAATGCATTTGGACACATAAGATAACCTTCAACCGAACCAATACAGTCAAAACGCGCAGTTGCCAAAACTCTCTGATACAGTTGGAAGGGAATGGTGGTGGTGTTAGAATTTTTAATTTAATCACCATCGGCGCTACCAATATGATTACTTCTGATGGAAACCAGCTTACATCACAAGATAATCTCGCGGTCGACTACCATCCGTACTGGAGTCAGATTACGATTATAGATCCCATCCAAAAAACAGGCCCTCAACGGCTCATAAAGCAAGGGCTCCATGCCAGAAATGAAGATAAATGTCCACCCGTTCTCCCGGAAGCTATCTTGCCTGAAGGGAAATATCCCACAAACCTTTCGATAATTGATATCGGAGGCCACTCAGACCATGGATATTTCACGTTAGTCAACGGATCTCCATATAACTGGATACTCACATCTAGTCACTCATATCAGATGGATCAATGGAAGTGGCATAATGTCCCTGCCGGTAATCTAATATTCTTGCGACACTCTATATAATCCTTCTGCTAATAGGTTACAGGTGAATCCGTTCAATGCGAGTGGCAGTTTGCCCAGTCCTTCAATAGATATGATGACAAAGGAGAAGCATACTACAAGATCGAGGGAACGGACAAGACTTTCCAGATAATGGCCAGATACCAAGATGATCCTAACAATAATTTTCATCTTCGTGTTCTATACGATGGATTAGAGACCAAGGATGTACCGAAGGGCACTTCCCTTGATTTCCCTTCCCGAGGCGGCTTGGGAGACATGAGAGCTATGAATTGGGTGTTGGCTGGAAGCGAGGAGCAGGGTTACTGGTCAAGCCACAAGCCGCCGATTGCATGGATGTCGTCAATATTAACCATCATTGGTGAGCGAAAATTGAAGCACGTTTGCATGCCGGGAAGTCACGATGCTGGGATGTCGAAGCTAAATGGGCACACTGAATGTTCGTTCTCTCAATACCCCTTACGCATATGTTTTAGAGCTGTCATGCTAATTCAATAATGCACTCACAGTTTCAAATGAAGGCAATACCCTAACTCAGTATTTGAATATTTATGACCAGCTAAGAAGGGGATCTCGATACTTCGACGTTCGTCCTGCCATCGGCGATGGGGGAAAGTTCCTCACTGGCCACTACAGTGATATAGATATTCTCGACATTGGGTGGCAAGGGGGGAATGGAGAATCGATCCAGGATATAGTAGATGGGATAAACAGGTACAAAGTCGGCTCTTAAATGTTTAATAATAAAGCCCTTTCTAACTTGTATTTCCCAGATTCACTGCTGAAAATCCTGAGCTAATCATTATCAACCTCGATCTAACCCTGGACACGGAAAATGGCTATAAACCCTTCAATGATGAACAATGGAGTAAAACTTTCGACCTATTCGAAGGTGTGACGCACCTTCGGGGTGGCCTCGAGGGCGATTTAAGCGAGAAGAAAATGAACGATTATATAGGGAATGGCCAGGCCAGCGTAATCATCCTCTCATCCGGCGGAGCAACACGGCCAGATAAAGGCATCTACTCGACCCGCCAATTCCCACGGTTCGACAGCTACTCCAATACCGACGTAGTATCCACCATGGCCGACGACCAAATTGCAAAGCTCAAGGGAAACCGCAACATCGTCGCCAACGACGCGGAAAGAAAGGACGTCTTCCACGTATTTTCATGGACTCTGACACTTACCCGCGTCCTGGAGCGAACCATCGCCGACCAATCCATTGAACTGGCATATGACCCCCTCTTCTGGCGGGCGTATCATGCTTTCACTCCCTTTTCATATCCGAGTGTTCTGTACATGGATTTCATCGGGAGTGCGGAGAAGAATACAAAAAGCTTTGATCAGACGACAGGAGAGGTTACCGCAATGGCCATGGCAGTGAATATGCAGCTGGCGAGCCAGAATTGTTATGTTGGCGGTGGCTCGATTGTCGTCTCAAAGAAGCCACCGCTAGAGCATCGATCTGAGGCAGCGAGGCCACACCTGATGTCGTCCAAGTCTACAGTTTCTTTCCTGTTATCACTTATTTTCTTGTATTTTCGCTTGCTATGAATTTTCTTTTTACTTTTCCTTTTTTTTTTTTCGCTGCTTTTTTTTTTCTCCCCGAAGGTGGCTTCGCTGGTAATGGCGTTTTCTATGTAAATGAATTCTACTATAAAGCTTCTCAGCTGTCTGAGCTATAAATTTAGTATGTATCCCTCTATTTGTTCCCTGCTAGGCTAGTATACCCCTCTCTTCTATTTTGCTTTACTTTAATTCTCCCGGCTCCGTGTCATCGCTTGCATTTATTTTAAGTTTCTCCAGAAAAAAAATGAAAAATAGGGTTTCTTCCAGCGCATTTGTTTATCAACTGTTATGTTATATATAAATACTAACACATGACGATGCCTGAACATTTGTGGGAAGTAGAGTATTACAAAGAGTGATGTCCTCCATCTTACTAAAGAGTCCATCTTCGGATACGACGCTCAAAGATTTGCAGCTGTTAAAATACAGGATTAGGTTAGGATTGCGGGTTATAATATAGATTTTAAATGCCTGTCAAGTTAGCGAATTGATAGGGGAACAAAGAGCGATGTAGCAGAGGGAACACGAATGAGTCACCGTCAATAAATGTACACAAACTCATTGTTTTCCCGATCCGTCAAGTCGAGAAGAGCATGATCTTGTGGATTCTCTCTACCACCAGCACCACCATGCCCATTACTTTCGTCAGTGTGGATGTACCGTTCCTCCATCGACCGATCCACTATAGCCGCCTCCTTGCCATCCGCAATTCTTCTCTTTTTCTGTACCTGATTCAACAGAACCAAATTCCCAGCTTGTAGGAGTACGACCCCCACCAGCACGACGAAGATCCCAAGCACATTGCGCAGACCGGGGTGATAACTTGGGGCATCAGCCTTGTTGAAAAGGAGAGGACCTATGATATTACCGGCCGAGGAACCGGCGTTGTATAGAGATGTTATAACTGACTGCTTCGTCGCTCCGGCCGTGTTTCCTACGATCCAGGCGACGATGAGAGGAACTCCACCAAAGAGAATAGCAAGCATATAGTACGCAACTAGTAACGTAGATTTTTGAGATGGGTTTCTATCCAGGACGTGGAGCATGGCCAGGCCCGCGATGACTGGTAGAATCAAAAGGACGAGAATTGCGGATTTGACGCGACATTTTTGAGCGACGTGTGAAGTGACCAGGATGGCGATTAGCTGGATGGCACCGAAGGGGATGTTGAGGAGAGAGGAGTGGTATTTGTCATAGCCCAGTCCGTTGAGTATGAGCGGCCCAAATACATTCGTCACCGCGGAGCCCACGCTGAGGAGCAGACTCATGGCTATCCAGAGATACGTTTTTGGCTCTCTGACAGCTTCGATGACGTGCGACCATTTGAATTCTTTGTGGCCAGCGCCTGTTCCCGTTTGGTTTGCGCGTAGGCGTTCGACCGCCTGGGCTTTTTCCTCCTCTGTCAGAAAGCGGGCGGTATGGATGTTGTTATCTAATTTCCAGTAGACAAAAGGGGCGGTTATGAGAGTGATGAGACTGGTGAAAAGGAACAGTCTACAACGCGCCTGTTTAGTATTGCTGTACTTGAAGAGGGCCAGGGGCCAGGGGAGCTGAGGGCTATCTCGTACATCTGCCATGATTGAAGTCTCTCGGACGGGATGTGGCCCAACCCAAATGAAATGGCTGATGCAACAATAGTTGCAGCTCCATTGGTGCTATACCATGCTGCCACACGGAGTGGTTGCTCCACACGGCGATACCACTGGCTGGTGATGATACTGAAAAGGGGAAGACAACCTGCCTGAAACAAACCCAGAAAGAAGCAGCTGGCGAGAAGCCCTACGTAATTGTAAGATGCTGCTATAGCTCCTTGTGAAATTCCCATCCCAAGGACGAGGGTTGACATGAGGATGCGCGGCGGCACTTTGACGATTAAGAACATGGAGAAAGGCTGCCATGCCAGCTGCGCAATAGGGCCGATAGACCCTACGAGGGAATACCGATTTCCAGTAAGGCCAGTACTTTCCTGGAGGCCAAACAAAGCACCATAGCCAAGGACGGTTTTGTCGAGAATCTGAAGGATAATTCAGTAAGCTATTTCTTCATTTCCCTTGCTTCTTCTTTCTCTCGGACTGCTTACCTGTAGAAAGTAAACCCACACTAGAACGGTAAGAATGACTTTATCGGTCTTGCGGCGGATTCGAACACTCTTTGAGCATGACAGCTGCTAAGTATCTGATACTGCTCATAGGCCCTCACCAGGACAAAGCCAAAAAGGGATAGGCTGAGCTTACATCTTCATGCGTCACGGAAACGGCGCCGTTGCTAAAAGTTGTGACGGCAATGTCATCGCTGCCACTCACATCGCGAACTGGCTTATCTGCTACGGCTTGCGTTTTGGCACTCATCAATTCCATGTCAGCGACGTGTTCCCTAACTTTAACGTGGGTTAAAGTGAACAAACTCCGTTCTCCACGATGATTGTCGTACGAATGGGCTACCTGGTGGCCTTCCAACTGAGCTCTATTGTGATAACGGAATTCTTCGAGAAAAATCACCCACGGATGTATCGCAATTGACAAGTGGTTCATTTACTTTCATAATGATCTGATTTTCGCCATGTTCGTAATGTAATCAGTCTCAAATAGCGTGTTGCTCTCTGGGAAATAGCCATGGGACAGTGAATAGAATGGAAAGCCTTTCACTCCTGAGGGCGATAAAAGGAACGGAGTAGTTATGGATAACATAGCAGCCTTTCACGGCAGTGTAAACGAGGTTTTTCCTAAATATGAAGTGGTTTGATGATATGTGAGGACCTAAAAGTGTTAGTGGATATATGGCTTTTATGGCTTTCCGCTTCAAGGCATGAAAACACGATTTCAAATGCAAGCCGCATTTTTGCCGCTTTGGTTTCCGCCTCCATTTATTTCCCTGGTCCAGGTTCTCGGAAATGGGTTTGTTTCCGGTGAAGGACAAAGGTATTTTATCCTGCTCACCAGCTACCCCTGAAAACCAACGAGATAGATGGCATCCATTAGTGCGATGGTCAATTTAGCTAGTTACACGATAACCACGTTCTATGTGATGCACACACATCGCATATCAATACTGTAGCATCAGGTGTAAACCGGCTCAACGAGCAAGCTATGGGAGACAAGCACGCATGCTCTCATATAGACCAAGCTCAAAAGTAGCGTCAACAGAAATTGTGAGCTGACATATTTTAAGCAAATTTGGTCAGATCCGTCGCTGAGATTTTCGATGTTATTAAGAAATTTTAACAAACGGTGGTAGAGGACTGACGTGGGTCTGTCTCTGGCTATCCCAGCAACCCTGGCAACAGCTAAAAGGCGTGTGTGTGTATGCGGTTTGATCCGTTGTTGTGTTGTGGGCCCGCCCCCTATCAGCTCGCCATATTGTGTTCCTCGTTCAACACGCAGCACAACAACTTTGTATCGATCTCCTTCTGACCTCCACTGCCCAACATATAACATTGTCTGAGACGCCGTCGTGCATCCAGAAGCATTCTTGGGCTTCTCCCTCTGCTTCATATATGCAGAATAGGGGCGTTTGAGAGATGGCGTCTCCCGTACCGCTGAATCTGTTTCCTCTCCTCCATGCCATTGGCAACACTCCTGCTGTTTGTCTGACTCAGGATATCCCTGGTGACGAGCCTGCAAGCTTGCTGCTGCTTGGTTGCGGCGATGTTCGACATATCTTGTTCACCAGCTATATGAACAGTTCATCAGGTGATATCCAGGCTGCTGGCAATGTTTGTGACAGTATTTGTTGAGCAAACACTGACACGATTGCTACATGATAGAACCGCGTTCACTTGACTATACTTGCTGTGACAGCCAGCCTGCGGTTATAGGTGGGTGATATTTTGTCCAACTCATTTCATTGTCTTTGTTTGCCTGCTAATTTGTGATCCCTTGATAGCCCGGAATGTTTTACTCCTTACTCTGGTTGTGGATAACAATGAAGGCGTGGATGTCTCAATATTGTGGGATATCTACTATCATCTGTTCGTTGATGACAAGTCACTCAGCGTTCTTGAATCCCAAGTAAAAAAGCTGTATCGTTTGTCAACTTCTCTGAGGCATTGGCATAAAACCAAGTACGGGCGTTTTCTGAGATTCTGTGACTCAAAGACTCTTGCTCTTGTGAGAGATGTCTGGTATTCATATATACATGTCTCAGACAAGGCCGCCTACACGACTAGTTTCCGAAACGCAATCCAAACATGTCTTGATGTCAAAGCTGTAGCATCGGGAAGCGGGATAGACTTGAGTGGAGTCCGATCTGCTGCCCCAAACGGAGTTCAAGCTCTTAAGGATATTCCCAGTTTGCATGCTCGCTACTGGAAGAATGGGACCACTTCCAGTGGCTCCAAAGCCGCAAATGTTCACCCGAACCCAACACTGGCACCTTTGGAGAATGGCTCTTCTCTGCTTCATTACGCCACCGATCCCTTACTTGGATTCCACCTAGTAACCGCATATACACCGGTGGAACCGGAATCTCCGTTTTATCGCGAGCAAACGGCTCATGGCAATGCCCAGAACGCAGTCGAAACGGCTCGACTTCAGTTCAATACCTGGTCTCAGGCTTTTAAAAGTGATCACAAATCCGTGACCGTGCGTTTTTTCGCAGGAGAGGCTCTCGCCTTCTGCCATACCATGCAGCATCTGGAGGCCACCAAAGAAACTTCTGCAAATTTGTTCCGGAGTTTTTACCAGTTCGATACTTTTTCCCTGGATGGCGAGGATTATGCGCTGAATGGTGTAGCTCCTTTAGCTTTCGACGTTATAGATACGTCCAACCTCATTGACTTCCTTGGTGGAATCAACCTCTTCATTGCTACAAGCCCATTGCTGCGCAAGAAGGCATCATCCACTCTCTATGCTGAGTCATTGGTCAAGTATGTGCCTGATGTAGACGTACTATTAGAGGACCTTTTCGCGGGCCATTTCCCGACACTGTCGATACTGCTTGGTGTATTCCCAATCCAATACTGGACAAATGCCTCAGCCGTTGCAAATTCTGAGGAGCAGTTGATGCTCGATCTCCATAAATCTCCCACGGGACACGGCCTCAATACCCGAAATATGTACAACAGAACATTGTGGAAATATCAATCACCCATCTGGTTAGATTCACCAGAAGGTAGCAGCTGCCCTTTAATCAAGTTCGAGCCGGACAATTTGGCTTTGGTTCTGTTCGGGATCTACCTCAAAATGTTCATGAATGAAGACGTGAAGCTGATCTTGGCCAATCCAAATCGTGAAATGATCCAGAGGAACTCCTGCATTCGTTACCACCGGGGAAGCTTTGCCCGGTTTCTTGCGTTTATCAAAAGCCGCGTGATCGCTGACTGGGATAGGACCATCTCAACCCTGATCACCTTGATTGAGAAAGATAAGATTCTCGTGGTTGGGCAGAACTTCCTCCACGAGCTATACTCACAACTCCATATCCTTGGTGTGTATTCCGATCCCGCATTTGCCAAAGAACTCAAATACGACAGAACAACCAATGATTTCCGTGCTTGGAAGAAACTACCAGAGTTGGTTTCTATTACAGTAGAAATCCCAAGGGCAAAACTCTCTATTTTCACCAAGATCCCTCGCGTTAAACTAGGAAAACCATATATGAACGGATTTGTTCAATCAAAACAGATGGTTTGGCAGAGCCTTTTCGCAGTTGTGCAACTCGGATTTGGACGAATTATCGCCTCAGGGGAACGCAGCAATGACAGTTTTGCCGTAACTATTGTTGAGGATCATAGCGGGTGGAAAGGGAAGAGCCCCCTTATCATATCTTTCGTCGTTCCGTCAGCGATCCTGCTCGCGGAGCCAGACAGTACGACAGTTGGAATGTCGCTTTACCACACGCCGACTACCGCCTTGGCTTTTGCGAACACATTAGGGGTGGAACTAATTGTCTTTGCAAGTGACCTTGGGAACGAATCCTCAGTATATATTTCAAAGCAACGCCCAAATAACGCCGGAATTCCGCGCATATCCAAACCCTCAAGTATCGGAGAGGAGCCAGAGAAAATCCCGGCAAGTTCCTATCACGTCACACTAACAGCGATCATCGACGTTGAAAAGAAAATAATTGATGGATTCACCGCTCATATTGCTTTTCTCGCTGAAGAAGCAAAGGAATGCCTGAAGCGCCAGAATATGATCGAACTTCGCCAAATCTCGGCTTGCTCCCTGTGTTTGATTATAGAAAGACAATCTTTGGAGATTGTTATAAATTTTCCAGCTCCGGTCCAAAGAGCGAACAAGAGCCGCACGATTCGGATTGCGAGAACCCCGCCAGTTGCGGAGATCATGGTACGCAGGGCTTATAAACCAGACCGCCAGGGCCACCCAGATTACATATATCCGATTTTCTTGGACAATCGAGGGGAGCCAGTGGCATGGAACATTCCATACCTTAATCCCAACCGACTGCCTATTTTGGATACCAATCGTGTGAAGGACTTTGGATGGCTGGTTACCCATGTCACGATGATGTTTTCTGGGAAGGAGTGCAAACAACGCACTAACTTAGATCCCACTCGTCCAAAGCCCGTTCAAGATAGCAGAGTATGTTTCAAAGACACTTTGTTTTCTATGTACATGTCGTTCGCCAGGGTCCAGGGACAGAAGACCAAGGTATTTGGGATAAATTGTGTGCATATCGGATTGCAGCTATTGTTTTTCCGCTCCGCTGTTCGCATTGACATGTCCAACCGCACGCTGGCTCTTGATGTTGCGATTATCCCCCTACCTCTGGACATGGGAAAGCCAATGCGTGATTTCATCACGCAGATAGACAAGGACGAGTCGATCACCATGCTCATTGAACCGGACGAATTAAAATTATGGAAGCGCATCTTGCCCACGTTTGTCGAACGCTGCAGGGAGTGGAAGCACAAAGCTACTTGTGAGTATAAAGCTAAGGCTCGAATTCCGCTATCCGTCGACTTTCGCCAGCCAGTGCTTTGTACGTGTGGTAATGGGATTTTCCCGCCAAATTTTATTCCCGACTGTCCGAAGTGGGAGTCCTTTTCCCAAAATGCTGTTCGCGGTTTGATACCACTTCTGTTCACCCTGCCGTACGTTGATCCTAAAGATAGTTTGGACGAAGAGACAAAAGCGAGATTGAATCGGTGTGAAGCGTGTGGTGCGGAGAAGTCTGTACATGGCCGTGCTTTATTGTCATGTTCGCAATGTCACCTGGTGAGGTACTGCTCACCAAAGTGCCAGCGTACACATTGGAAGGTCCATAGAAAGAGTTGCTTGGGGAAGAGTGGTGGAAATCCTATCCGTAAATGATTTGATTTGAGGTGGATAGGGCTTTCTATGCTACCGACCAGGATATTAACGGTTAGTTACACTGCAATGGTGGAATGTGAATGGTGCCAAGGTCGATTTTTTTTCTTTTTCTTTTCTTTTCTGCAGTTTCCCATTTACCACTAATTGCGAGGGAAGGCAGAAGTTGGGCTTCCGAAAATTCATTCAGTTAAGAATTAGTTGATAAATGGAATCAGATAAAATGTTATTCTGATTTGGGCTTCCAGCAAATGCCCAATGTAGCTGTGTGCCTTTGAATAAAAAAGCTAGTTTTCCGACATCAGCATGTCCTATCCCACAACAACCTTTAACTTTGCCACCTTCTAAGCAGTTTGCACTTGGTTAACGCAGGTTTACATGAGGAGTGGGTAGGTATGTATTCTCGACCGATAAGCTATTTAACCGGGCCCCGATTCCCCTGATTTACCCCGCACAGGCAGCTCAAAAAATCGAGATCAAAAGAAAACCAATTATCCCCTGATGGGATATAACTGTATATGCTCGTGCATGAATCCAGCCAGCTCCAGTGCATAACGCCTATCCCAATCTCTCATCTTGAATAGCTCACAACAGCTATTAGCAACCATGGTTGGCAAAATCCCGCCCTCAGGTGTCTGGTGTCCCGCTGTGACGTTCTTCGACCCCGCAACCGACACCCTCGACCTTCCCAGCCAAAAGAAATACTACACCTACCTCTCTCAATCCGGCCTAGCCGGCCTCGTTATCTTGGGCACAAATGCAGAAGCATTCCTCCTAACCCGCGAGGAGCGCGCGCAGCTCATCGCTGCGGCGCGAGAGGCCGTCGGGTCTGATTTCCCCCTCATGGCCGGCGTCGGCGCGCACTCTACCCGCCAGGTACTCGAACATATTCGCGACGCAGCGGACGCGGGCGCAAATTATGTCCTCGTGCTGCCGCCCGCGTACTTTGGCAAGGCTACGACGCCGTCGGTGGTCAAGTCGTTCTTCACGGACATCGCCACCAACTCACCGCTGCCGGTTCTCATATATAACTTCCCCGGCGTGTGCAACGGGGTCGATCTGGATTCCGAGCTTATCACGGCACTCGCGAAGCAGAATGAGAATATCGTCGGGGTGAAGCTCACGTGTGCGAGTGTGGGGAAAATCACGCGGCTGTGCGCGTCGCTGACGCCGGACACCTTTGCGGTTTTCGGCGGACAGGCGGATTTCTTGATCGGGGGCCTCAGCGTGGGATCTGCGGGGTGCATTGCTGCGTTTGCGAATGTGTTCCCCAAGACCATTTCGAGAATATACGATTTGTATAAGAGGGGGGAGGTGCAAGAGGCACTACGGCTTCATAGAATTGCGGCGCTGGCGGAGTCGCCGTGCAAATCGGGGATTGCGTCGACTAAATATGCGGCTGCTATTTTCTCGGCAAAGAGGGCAGGGATTGAGGGCGCGGAGGAGAAATTGAGGCCCCGACGGCCGTATGAGCCGCCCTCTGAAGCGGCTAAGGAAAATGTCAGGACGGCTATGGCGTTGATGGAGTCCATCGAGAGTGGATTTTAGCAATATGAAACCTGGTAGCTGTGACTGCCGTGCATATATGTGGGAGATGTATGTCGTAAAAGGCTTTTGCATACTAGTATTGATAAAAATAAAAGTCGCGTCATTGCTAACAGATACCTATAGACTACAAATGAAAAGCATGGTTGAGAACTTGTCCACTGATCACTCTCGTCACGCTAAAAAGTTAAGATTGGTTGAATATTTCTTTTCTTAACTACGCATGACCGTGAGAAACTTGCAAAGGTAGCATTACCAATATGATGAATATGGTTTCTACAGCAAGCGAACACATGGAGCGTCACTGAGACCAGATGTCCAGATAAAAGCATCCTTCAGGATGATACCGTACGAAAAAAATGCTCCCTATCTATGTTTGGCATGAACATGTCATATGTCACAACTACCAAATGCGCCTCGACGGTTCATTGACCTATGAAAACCGTGTATCGAATCGACAACGGGACGCATTGGCCGGACCCGGCCAGTCTGAGCGACTCATACTGTGGCGAGACACAGGTGCCGCTATATACAGCAGTTTGATGGCCCGAGATACTCCGCATGTAGTGGGCGACCTAGGATTATGGAGACGGAAATAAATCCACATATGTCTGTCCAAGCATTGGATCCTATGATAATTATCGTAATTGCAGTGAGCATGGCCTGGCCTTTTTTTTTTTTTTTTTTCGTTTTGAGGGCACGGGAACACACTCAACCCTGGTTCCAAGTAAAGTTCGCAACCAATATGCAATCGCGAGATTCCTCCAAGGTTGAAGGTCGCATTGGTTTGTCAAGCTAATTATCACTGAGCATGGTCGAATGCCTGATAACTAGAATCCAGTTGACATTCAGCGGCAGAGAGGGAAAATATCAAATATCCATCAAGTATGAACATATTCCAGACAACTCGGAGGTTAAAAGAAGAATAATACTAGTGGTATTTTAAGCGAGATTTCCATACGATCTAGTCTTATTTTAGCCTAGTGGCGACTCCAAAAGCTGGAAGAGCGATAGCCGAGATCGTATGATGCGTACATCTATCTGTACAGCGCCGGAGAGCTTTGGAGCTTTGGAGCTTTGGCGCTTTGGCGCTTTGGAGCCTTGGGCTCTTGGGTGTGCGAGATCCATGCAAGACCGGTACAACGCGGGAGTTCTGCAGCCGTCATTCTTGTGACTCGGAGCTCATCGGGCGGGAATGAGCACGAGCTTGGCCGCTCACGTGGATTGGTGGCTTAGCCCTGGAGAGCTCTGGCGTTTCAAGCCAATTTGATTATGATTATGCTCTATCTTATTCGTATGGGATCATCCCCACACTGTTCACGAATGCCTCCTGCTCCGAATCGTGTTTATTGTGACTGCGCTCGAACCTTGGCTCTCCAAAACCACACGCGGCATCTCAGGCCTGTTTTCTGCGAAGTTGACCGCTACTACATTGCTGGCTTATCCAACAAGTAAAATCTTTCAAGGCTTTCATTGATTTAGCCAGATAACACCGACGGTTCCAACGGTTCTGGCTTTGGCGGTTCTGGCCCTGCCTCTTCGGCCCTCTTCCGTCAATCATCATCTTTTTTATGACAAGCCTCGTCTTGGGAGCCAGATACATGCGCAGTAAACGCAGATTCCAACACGGGCTGGGTGTGCATTCGGTTCTGTCATCAATTGCCACTAATAGTATCCCCTGACATTTTCAACTTTTTGTCAACTCCCATTGGGCTCACATTCGTTTCTGCACTTTTCCCCCTTGAGCAACCGAGACAAATTCGGGTGCCTCGTTTATTTGCGCCTTGCCCTTCCCTTATTCGTTTTCAAAGAAAATAAAGGGGACGAAGAGGAAAGGGAGTTTATAATTTTCCTGATTCTGCGGCTCTTCAGGTGTTCATGTAACAGGTGGGGGTAAATCATTATTACCATGGCTTTCCCAGCGATCCAGCGCGACTCGAAATCTCCATTATTGTCTCCCCGAATGGCTATAAAGAGCCCATCGACCGATACCGCCTCCTACAATACACCTCCAGAAAACTCAACTGCTGATTGGTCCCAATGGATGCGATGGGACGAGCTCGAATCTGATGATATATCAGCTCATGCGGATCTTTTCAATATGCCTTCGAACATCGATGAAGAATTATCTAATATACATAAGACTATGGTACCAAAGACGTTCGATCTTTTACCAGTCAACACCCCGTTCACATTTACGGCTGGCTCTTCAAACTGTGACACCATTTCACCGCAGGAACCACCACTTCTATCGGATATCTCTCCTGCCCCTTCTGACTCTCTTGATTCGACGTTTGGTCCTGAGTTAGCCAACGGGCATCGGAATAACTCTGTGCCAGAAATACCTTCCCCCGCAGACCACGCACATAGGAACACATCAGAAAGGAAGAGGACCTCTTCCTCCACTTCATTAATTCCTCTTTTACCAACAGACAGGAAGCGGAAGGCGGAGGTAGCGGATCCTCGTCGCTTCTCTGCGGAAGATGATATGCTATCCGGTTCAAAAGCTTTACATTCGAAGAAACGATCCCACAACGTAATCGAAAAGCGATACCGTGCCAACCTCAATGACAAAATTGCCGAATTACGAGACAGTGTACCGTCTCTTCGAGCTCTAGCCAAGCAGAAAAATGGAATATCCGGTCAGGGAATGGGCGATGATGATGAGATTGTATCGTCCTCTAACAAACTCAACAAGGCTTCTATTTTGGCCAAAGCCACCGAATATATTCGTCATTTGGAACAACGGAACAAACGCTTGGAGGAGGAGAATGTCGGCCTGAAAAATCGCCTTCGACAATTAGATAAAGTTCAAGAACAAAATTTAACAAACTTCACGAATGCTTCCGGCTCCGCGTCAACGGCTGGTGCCTACACCTCTTCCCCTGACTCTAGACAGGGATCCTCCCCAGACGTCTTCTCACAAGCCGAAGACATTTTTCCTGAAAGTTCCCCCAACTCGTTTCATCCGCCCGAAGGGCTTATCAAAGTCCCTGAGTATTTCAAACGTATGCGAGCGACTGGACCCCAGCAACACTATGCAGAATCTCTCAATCAACCATCAAATACAAATACAAATTATGCATCATCAGGCGGTCGACGAATGACCCTTCCCAACAAATTTATGCTTGGGACGCTTGCTGCTCTAATGATAGTCGGTGGCTTCGAAAACCAATCAAAATCAGAGTCCTCCAAAAAGGGGTTACTTGGTATTCCTCTGCAATTTCCTGGAGACATCTCCCGCTTCCTTCAAATGTATTTCGGCGGCTTGACGGCGACGTCGTGGCAAATTAGAGCTCTGTCTCATTTCGCATTAACTTCAGTGGTTGTGGTGGGAGCCGCTTGTGCTGTCTTTGCTTACCTATTTAATTCAGCCCCAAGGCGAGCAAAGCATCCGACTAAGTCCCCCGCGGGGTCGAGAAGCACTGCCGGTGTCTCACCAATTGAATTCCGGCAAGAGGCGTGGCTCACAAGTATCCAGACTGTCTGGGTACCGAGGCACACATTCTTCCCTGAATGGTTTGCAGTATCGTGGCGTTGCTTGGAGTATGTCCTAAGCTGTCTTCTTGGATCAAAGCTGTATTCCTGGCTCACAGGAATTACCGAGGACGATGAAAAAGCAAGGGCTAAAGCATGGGATATAGCCATTGATGCTCAACTAACTGGAGGTGACCCGGAAGTCAGCAAGAGCCGGATGGTTCTAACTATTTTCGCCTCCGGCACGTTGCCAAGAACTCCAGCACGGGTGATGTTGAAAGCCCTCCATTGCCGCATTTTACTTTGGAGAGTGGGTTCTCCAGGCTCGTGGGCTTTTAGACTCTCAAACCACATTGGCTCCCTCCTGGCCAGATATCAATGGGATATAGCAAGAAATCTATTAAAGAATCTACCCAAGGACCACGAAGATGCGCTTCCAGAACATCTTGTCACTCTTCTCGAAGCGGATTCGGATGATGTTATGACCGATGCAATAACGCAACGTGCATCCAACATGGCATGGAACAGATATACCCAAGAAGCTACTTATGGTGAAGACGCTATGTTAGATATTGTCGTTGAAGACACTGCAGTACGCTCGCCTCTCGATGCTCTTGCGGCGTGGTGGTCTAGTAGAGCTCTTCAGAATGCATTGATCCATTGTCTTGATTTTGATGCCTTCCCACCCGAGCAGAAACTCAGAGAAGTCTTCGAACTCAACCTCAATCTAGCGTCAAATGTTGCACCGCTCGCCTCAGCTGCTTATACACGAGCGGCTGTAATCAAGGCCGTTTTCTTTGGTGAAGACAGAGTGACAAATATTAACACCGTCCTTGCTGCCCTTCCGCGACCCAAAAGCCAGCCAGCCATCAGCAGTACAAATTTCCTTGATTCGTCAGTCCCACCGTCAGCGCGGGCGGAAATATCTATTGCTGTTCGGTGCGCCATGATTGCTGCGATACTGAAAGGGCAGGTGGGTGGAGATTCATCCACGCCCCAACTCACGATTCGCAACGCAATTGAACTATTCAATGTTCTTCCGATCGATCCCGTTGAGCTTACACTCCTGGGGTTCGCCTCCCTCTACCACCTTTTACATGTCGTAGCAGCCGAACAACATCTGCTTTTGGAGTCTTCCTTATCTTCCTCCATGTGCTCATCCGCCTCAGACACCACCTCCTCAACCCAGCGTTATGAAGCAGAGTCTAGCACTAACGGCTCTACTCTGCCTATTCCAAACCTCTCCCGTATCGCCCAAGGTCTCATTTATTGGGTTCGCAATGCTTATAACCCGATTTCCTCCGGATTTGACATGGAATTGGTGGAAAAAGCTGTCAAGGGATGCATCGATGCCTGCCAACGAGCTGGCATTCATATTGAAGTAGAAGAAACCAGATGGGAAGGCCATCGTCACAGAGCAACGCACAGCAAAGACAAAACTCAAGATACAAACATCGTTACCGAACTCCACCCTGGCAGGACCGATGTCGACGAAGAATCGGGAGAGACGGAAAATAAAACTAAAGATGACCGCCGTGAAAGCTTAAAGAGCGTAGATACAGGGTATGGAAGCCTGAGTCATGAGGATGATGACAGTGACGAGGTGGAGAGAAAGAATATTGCGATTCCCCAACGCGATGAAAGCTGTTCTCTTGCCAATTAATCAATATGGCTAAATAGATATTGTCTGTACCCATTGTTATGATTGTTATGTCTTCCATTATTATTTTTATGTTTATTTTTTTTTCTTCTTTTGGGAGGAATGACTGAGAGTTTCATTACACTTGACGACTTAGGATAGATGTCATATTTGCGTATTTACGAAGACAGGGAAAACCAGAACAAGAAAATGATCAGGTAAAGGTGAAAGGGACCCTCCACTTACCGGTATATGTTTATCTCATAGAGAGTTATTTTATCACTTTAAAACAGAGAAATCCCAGATTACACTATTGAAATTAGCTATCTTTTTCGCCTCAGATCAGAGATACAGTGAATGATTTTGTGTTTCCAGCGACTATCCGCTCCATGAGCTACAGTTCGCAGGGACGCCCAAAAAGTTTTAATCGCTTCGTGCTCCTTACTTCTGCAACGTAAAAAATATTTAGCTACCAGACGCGAAAGCTTCCCTCCCTAGCCTGGGGTTTTTTAATGATATGAAGAAAACCGTTTGAAACATACTTAATATGTTGTGATATAAACGAATTACAGGATTCCTAACTACCTATGCACCAAGGAAACAAACAGCGTGTGTTGAACACGACTTGGGACGGTGGGGAAATTTTGCTCTCCGAATATCAGAAACTACGAAGTGTTCCCAAGTTAGAATCCAAGGACAGTACGGAATTCCGTTTTAATTTCTCTCTTCCCTCCTATTTTTCTTCTCTTTTTTGGGAAAAAAGAGGTCCTATAAGACGCGAAAGTGATGGATGAAGTCGAATTCAACCCCTCACTATTCAGATATTTCAAAAGAATGGTTAAATGAAAAGAAGGTAATGAAAGAGACACATTGGCCAGCTTAACTATGGCAAAACATGTGAGAATCGAAAAAAAAAAAAAAAAAAAAAAAATAGCCATGCAAAAGCTCCTGCTAGGTAATTTCTCTCATGTGTTTTGTCCATATAGTGAGAGAAAATGGAAGCGAGCAATAGAACGTGGAATCATATCTCGCTCAATTCAAACCAGGAATGAGGATGGGAATAAATAAATGAGTGACATCATCAGTAGTACATAAGTCAGTATAACTTACGAGGAACGACTCAATTTAGGTTTCAACAACACCATTCCCGTTTTTCATTATTTTCTTTCGTTTTGTTCCCCCGAGCACATATTTCCCCCTTCTATCCAATCACTTTTCGCTATCAATGGGGGTTAGCTCTCACCAACCAGTTACTTTTCTGCGGTCTCGCTTCGGGACGGAAAATTAGGCACTTCAACTGGGAACATCCCTACTCTGATCTCCGCCTCCTCCAAAGTCAGCACCTTGATGCTCGCGCCCCCGATGCCAAAGGCGCGTTTTATCGCCTTCCAGCTCTCTACTAATCCAAGATACACGGCCACAGCACCAAACACTATGCCCCATTCCCACGTGATCCCCGAGTGTTTGAAGACTGACTTATTCACCACAGGCAAATAAATAACGGGGAACAAGAGGATGGCTCCAGCGAAGACAGCCCAGAAGAGGAAACGGTTCTGCCATAGGCTAGGGAAGATGGAGAAAGGGCCAGTGTAGCGTGCGGGGTCGAGATTGAACAGAGAGCGGCAGAAGTGCTTGACTTCCCAGGCGGTGACGAGGAGGAGGAACGTTATTGTTGCATAGGTGGTGGCACGCGCGCGGAATACAACTTCGCATGTCTGGTTCCATTCCTGGTTGCAGGAATCTCCAAGATTAGCGCCCCCAGCGCCATATACGACTGCTACGAACGCTAAGAGGCAAAGAGATCCCATGAATGTGCCGTATATCATTTTATCCATGATTAGTTCGCGTGTGAAGACTCCGACTTGCAGGTCATGGGGAGGTCGATACATGATATCTGGTTGGCTTTCTTCTAGACCTAGCCCCAAGGCGAGGAATGATGAGGTGACTAAGTTCGCCCACAAAATTTGTATGGGAGCAAGAGGGAAAACGGAGTTCCTATCTGCGTCTTTGAAGGCCAATGCCAACAAGAGCAATATCACTTGGGCAATGTTGGAAATCAGTAAGTGCATAAGAAACTATTATTGGTTGTGAAGTTAGCGGGAAACTGCCAATGGAATTATTTCGCATGTGGGAAAAATTATAAGAGTTGTTTTTATCTTTCTACCTTCTGGATATTGTCGAATAAGCGACGTCCTTCTTCGACAGCTTTCACGACAGATGCAAAATCATCATCCGTGAGAACCATGTCGGCAGCTTCTTTGGCCACATCGCTTCCATTTTTTCCCATAGCAATGCCGACATCAGCATGCTTGAGGGCTGGGGAATCATTTACTCCATCGCCAGTCATGACACAGAAAGCATTTCTTCGGTGCATCGCCTCCACCATACGGACTTTGGTGGCTGGACTACACCTTGCGATCACGAGGGGTAGCGCCTCAATAGCATCGATCTCCGCATCAGAGAGCTTGTCAAATTGCTCGGCACTCATGACTACAGTGCTAGCTTGAGCGGACGGTATCATATTCCCAAGGATACCAACTTCATAGGCAATAGCCGTGGCTGTCTTGATGTGGTCGCCTGTAAGCATGTGGACGGTAATACCAGCCATATGGCATTTCCTAACCGCGCCGGGAGTTTCCACACGAGGAGGATCGTAGAGCCCAACGAGCCCAACGAACTGGAGGTCTTGTTCTGTAGATTCGCGTTGGGATAGTTGACCCAACTCGTTTTCGGGGATAATCTTGTGCGCCACACACAGGACTCGAAGCCCTTCCCCTGCCATGCTATCCACAGCGTAGCGAATCTCCGACTTCGTTTTGTCCGAAGAACTCAATAATGGCAACATGGATTCGGCTGCGCCCTTAGAAAATGCCCGAGCACACTTGGACTTGGAATCTTGATAGACGACTGTCATTCGTTTTATTGCTGAATCGAAAGGAAACTCTGCCAGCTGCCTCCGCCGATTGCCTTGAAGTAACGCCAGTTTTCCGGAGTTGAACCGGAGGGCAAGAACATGAAGAGCGATTTCTGTAGGCTCTCCAACGGCACCCCAATCATCGCCAGCATCCGTAGCTGACTGGTTATCGATTGAGTTTTTGTCATTGGGGTTATAGACAGACGACAAATTGCACAGCGCTACAGCCTTGAGAAACGTGGTGAAGTTGGGATTCTTGCCAACATGATCGGTATCAATATCTGTGCCATCCATTTGAACAAATCCACTTCGAGGATCGAAGGGGTTGGTCGTATCGTGGACAGTCAGGGTTCCAGCGCCCGGAACCCAGGCTTTCCGCGCAACCATTCGACCTTGAGTAAGTGTACCGGTCTTGTCTGAGCAAATGTTTGTGACTCCGCCCACAGCTTCAAGTGCCTGTAGTTTTCTAACTATCACGTTGCCTTTGGCCATCGCCTTTGTACCAACAGCGACAGTTATGGTGAGGACTGCAATAAGTGACTCGGGGATGACGGAAACGGCAACACAAATACCGTATATCAATACTTCGCCATGTACATCCCATTTATTGGCAGAAAAAACAATTATAGTCAACATAATTGCGAGAGCGAAGAGCAATAATGCGAATTTGCTGAGCTTGACTTGGAGTGGTGTTCCCACCAAACCCAGGATGTGAACCAAGGTGTTCTTCACTCTATTTAATGTTCGTAGGACTATGTTTGAACCCGTAACACTTTTTGGCCCCTGCTGGCGTAACAGCTGTGCAATCTTACCAACCTCGGTTTCCATTGCGGTTGCGGTCACAATCCCAGCCGCACGACCCCGAGTCATCGTACTTCCAGAATAGGCCATATTCGTCCGATCCCCTACTGCCATTTCACGAGTAGGGAAAACAACGTGGGGGGTTTTGGAAATAGGCAGCGATTCGCCTGTAAGGAGGGATTCATCGGTGGAGGCATTCACACCGTCAAACAGTCTCAAATCCGCTGGAATCATATCTCCGACTACAAGTTGGACGACATCACCTATGACGAGTGTCTCAGCTTTCACAGACTTGATTCGGCCGTCGCGGATGACTTTACACACTGGTGCAGAAAGGGCTTGTAGCGAAAGGATCGTTTTTTCTGCACGATAATCCTGGGCAAAACTGTACTCAAGGGTTATAATTTTAGCCTCATGTTATAATGGGTATCTATGAAGTGGCGAGTGAGAAAACGACTTACCCAACAACAATATTGAGAAGGATGACAGCAGTTATAACGGAACCTTCTATATAGTCATTAATCCCAAAAGATAATGCCATGGTTATGACGAGTACCTGCATATCATCGCACCAGAGTTAACATTGATGTTATCGATCCATATTAACCAGTTGGCTGGCGAATAGTCGACTCGGGAAATAAATGCCTTTTCGTACTAAAGTCAGACTGTTTGACACCTGTCTTAACAGAATTTTCCACAGGGAAACCCCCTGTGTTCCCTTAACCTTGTTAAGTCCATCGCGCTCAAGGCGATATGCCGCTTCGGTACTACTGAGTCCATGTCTAATAGAATAACTATCAGCCCTCCGATATTAGGTCATAAATTTGGACACCATTATGTGAGTAACTTACTGCAAATCAACTCCCACGGCACGAAAGACTTCCGAAATGGGGTAAGAGTAGGCGTATTCACAGATTTCTTGATGCTTTTGAAGTTGATCAAGGGTCGAATAAACTGAGTGGTTAAGGGAAACAGCTGTGCTTGGACACTTAGAGACTTCTTCTGCTTCTCCTGTATGGCGGTCGGTGGAAGGCGATTGGTTTAGGGTTGATCCCGGGTGCTGTTGATGGCCTTCATGAATAGAAGAACGTATTGGTGGCTCTGTCGATTCCTCGACATCTGGCGGAGAGGTCTCTATGCCCATTCAATAGGAGGTACGATTTAACAAGGGAGCAAAAGGCCTCGACGAGCAGCTCCTTGGAATATAGTCACGGTAACGGTCGTAGTTGGGATGATTTGAAAAAGAGCTCTAAGCAAAATGTATATAGAGAAGTAGTAAAGTTGAAGTAATAGAAAAGAGTGTAGAGTACGCTTGCGGGGATACTATATAAAGGTTCCGCTCACGCTGGTTTCTCCACTTCTCCCATTTAGCAGTATGTGGGTCTGATCAGGATTCAACGAAAAGTTCCAATTTGAACGAATGCTCGGAACTAGCCATGGATTTCACTGCCACAATTATGACGAGACCATGTTTTGTCACACACCTAAGAATCTAGGAAATTTTTGCTGGGTTTCCCCACACTCTCCTGCTGTGGCCAGACGGATGGAAATAAGAACTGGATACAGCATCGACAGCCCAAACCAGCTATTGGTCGATTGGATGCCCCATATCCACTCGGAAAGAAGAATAAATGAGCGAAACCTCTCCTTGCTGCATTCCGCTCGACAAATTCTCCGCCATGACCCTGTCTGCTTGGCCGTGGGGTTGCCGGAGAAGTTCTGGCCATTCTTTGTTGAGCGGGGTTGGCAGTCTTGGCTGTTATAGGCTGCTCAGCTGCAGCTGTTGAAGGCCTAAAGACCGGTTTGGAATTGACAACACACTTCAAAAGTTTCTTGTTGAACATTCTTCCCCATTTCCCACCATTTCTGTTTCCTCTGTGGAAATGAGTATGTGCGAATGAAAGAGAATTCACGGAAATATTTGACGGAGAAACCGCAAACTTCCTGTATTCATGTTACAAGGCTTTCTTTATTGGCCCTGTAACAGTTCCACGGCCGCTGCTTCAATAATGAACTGATCCATGTAGGTGTGGCTGTCTTATCATGATATAATCCGGAGTTTTCTTCCTTTTGCCATTAAGTAATAATAACGGTTAGTTAACTAACTCCTGCCAGTGATGGTTAAAGCAAGTCGCTGATGGGCGACAGATGCTGATCATGATTGTCAAACCCCCACAATCACCTACGGATGATCACTGTCACCAGCAAGCTGTGTCCAGGGCACGCTATGTGTCGACAGGTGCCTTGGCTTTCATCATGGTTGTGGTTAGCACCGGGCCCGACTATCACAACACAGGCAGCACCCGAAGCTGCCGAACCGACGCAAGCATGTGTATTGGCCATGCTCTGCTCACTCCAATTGTCGTCCTGTCGCACAACGCAGGCAAGGTAGCACATGACCTGCATTCGAGCCGGAAGTCTCTAAGTTTTCGGGTAATCCCCATCTGAAACACACGGTATACAATATCGCTAATACATGCTCAGTGTAGGATCGACGTATATTGTGACACGTATCTTAGCAGGGTGGCCATGGTTTGTGTGGACCCAGCTTCGAACTGTGTAACCGCGGGCAATGGGTTTAGAGCCTCTATCGACGTCATCCTGTAGAATGTCGTGATAAAGAGGCGTTGGCCAAGAGGTACTGCCGCTGGATAGAACTGAGCTTCATGAGCCAGATTGCACATTAATGCAACCACCACCGTGAGTTGAGAAAGAGAACTCTGAAAAACGAGACCTTGAACGTCCTGATTGTGTTCAAGTTGGTGTGAATGATTTGTAGCAAGCCGAGTGAACTTCGGAACCCGGGATATCTATCCTCCGTCTACCTGGCAAAAATTCCAAAAATGCAACTTCCATAGCATCAGTTTCTTGGTATCAGCAAACAATTACATGTTTATTTCATAATACACCATAAAAAGGTATTCGTACCAATAATCAGATTCCCTCCCACTAACTAATATCCGTTGCCAACCTCTTCTCTTAAATCCAATGCTAAGCCTTGATGCCTCGCTCACGCCACTCCGCTTCCCTGACGGTTCGGCATCGTACACATCCCCCACCGGAGACCAGATACTGGGGTCAGTAAATGGCCCTATTGAATCTGGCCGCCGCGACTCCCAAAGGCCAGAGGAAGCAACAATAGAAATACTCGTTAAGCCAGGCGTAGGTGTTAGCGGGGTTGGCGAGAGATATGTCGAAGGCATTTTGCGTGGTGTCCTGAGTCGCGTTATATTATTGCGGGAAAAGTCCATGCCTAGGGCAGGAATCGTAATCACTCTGGTGGTTTTGAAAAATAAGTGGGCTGACGGGAAAGTTACGGAACGGGGTGGATCGGTGAGTGCAACGAGCAGCGCAAAGCGCCAAAGCATTTTCCAGTTTTACCTCTCGGAGACTCGGTCTCCTGCTGCTCCTCTCCTTGTTGGCCCTTCCTTGCTAACTTTATGCTATGAAGTGTCTTCCGATTTTACCTTCGCTGCTTCATACGGCTCTTCTTGCATTGCTCTCTGCTGCAATCCCACTCTCTATGATATACACTTCTGTATTGATCGCAGTATCCCGGACCGGCGAGTTGGTAGACAATCCCTCAAATTACCACATCAAAATTGCGAAGTCATTACATGTCCTATCATTTTCGTCTAAGGGACATCTACTATTTAATGAAAGTGAGGGTGAATTTGACCTGGATACCTGGGACAAAGTTCATGAACTAGCCCAGTCTGTCTGTATTGGAGGCCCAGGTAGAATAATGGGAGATGGTGATGTTGATATGGATGGTGCAAAAGCCTGCCAAACCCTTGAACAATCTGTGAGAGATACGGTGGAAGGAAAGATCCGAGAAGACCTCGCGTGGAAAATTTCAACTACATGAATACGCCATTTTACATATTCCCTTGTTGCACGATAAATCGGAAAATGAAAAGCAAATATATAAGAAAGATGAATAACACATTTAAGATACCGGGCAATTGCACGATAACACGCAAACAAACGGCCATTTCCGCTGTAGGTCTTATCACTCTCGGCGCATTACACATCGTCACACACACAGGCACAACCACCCTACGTCACGGAATTTGTTTCCCCACGTTTGGAATATTCCAAGCCTTGAAGTTCTGGCGCGTTCTGCTGACGTATATGGATGCACAAAAGGAGCATTTCAAAGGGGCATTTCCAACATGTCCCTGGGTCCCTCACCAGCAAATAGGAAATTTCGTCCAAGCCCGATAGGTCAACCTGCTTTGGTGTTGTGGGGCCTGAGACGGACTGATTGCTCGTCGTTTGGTATTTTCTCAAAATAGGTTCATATAGGAGTGGCTGTGGATTCATGAGGCTTACATCGATGCGTTCAGTCCGTTTCCTTCTTTTCCCTCCTCGTGGGACTTGATTTTCCTTATCGACTGATGATAGTATAACAACTCCGTTGCTCCTTGATACTCGTATGCTTTTTGAAAGCCTTTGAAATTATGTATCAAATGTCCTTTTTTGCCCAACTGAAGGCCGGAGCTCTATGATCTCCCTGCATATATCACTCCTATCCGAAATATATCCATAATTTCGTCCTCTCGCTCCTCCACAAATTGAGCAAGTTGCAATGAGCTACTACACATGGTGAAAACGCACATCCTTACATCAACCGCTCTCTTTGAACAATTTCGCACCAACACCAACATGCTCGTTTCAATATGATGTATAATGCAAACCCTCAGGTGCACTCTACAAATAAATCGGACATGGCTCAGTGGCTTGCAAGCCAGAAACCTAATGCCTGATATTATCAGGGGCGAAATGGAATTTTTTTTTTTTCAATTCACTACTTGACATCCCGATATTGACATGCTTGCACATACGACCAATTCACGGGACTCATGTGCTGTACACAACCTATACCTCTCAACCCCGAATTGCAGAAAAAATATCCAACATGCTGCGAGGAACCATAGCGAATCCCCTTCTTGTTACGCCGATGTCGTCGTCGATTTCCTATCTATCTGTCTGGAACTATGTATTAACCAATGGGGATATGATATCTCGGAACCAAGAGACGGGAAGGAAAGTGACATAATGTACCAAAATCATCTACAAACCATAAGAAGAGATTTATTGCCCCTTTCCATGCATCACGAACGAACTTGTGGCCAGCACACATAATATAAGGTATATGACTGTGCGTATAACGAATTTCCATTTGCAGCGCCTACCATTAGTATAAGTTGATGTGGAGGGGTGTATAAACAAACACACTTAGCTAACATGTAACCAGTGGACGTTCACTTTAGAAACCCCCTGCACTGCGAAAAGTCTGTCGAAAATAGCTTGCGCATCGTCTGATAGAAAACTCGGCAATGGCGTCTCGCTTTTAATTTTCTGATGCAATCAATTCCAAGTCAAAATTTGTTGACATATCAATATCCGGGACGAGGGGCCAAAATAAATATACAAAACACCTGAGGTATATTGCACGCTGAGGGAGATAAGCAACCACCATACCACCTACATGTTAACACCAAGCCCCAACGGAGCGATAGTTAATCCACCTCAGGAGAAGATATAGCACAAACACAAGCAGGACTAGCAAGATGGTCAGGAGGATGGCTATCAAGCTGTTGGGGGCGAGGCAGCGCTCGGGACCTGGGGTGTCTACGGAATCTCCAGAGCCGGAAGCAGACCTGGAATTGGACAACGTGGTAGATAGCCCACTTTCCTCATCGGCAAAGCTGCCACCTGCACCGGTAAAGTTGGACAAGAGAAGAGGAGTTTCGTCGTTGTCGGCATCTTGTGGGGTTCCAGGCAGAGCAGCGGATGCCTCGGGAGTCATGTTGTTCTCGGCCATGTTGCTTGTAAAAACGCAGAAAGTGGGCGGCACTTTTCGACTACTTTGTCCTCTGTTTTGATGGCACAACAAATATGGATGGAGCAGTAGGACGATGAAAAGTTAAGGTCTGGGTGTTGTTCACCGGAGCGTTCGGTTGAACTCCGGAGACGGTTCACGAAGGATGTCAATGAACAGTGATGTCCTGCTAACGCAATATCGCACAGTTGTGATGCCAATTGATGACGTACTGTTCATGAATGATGAGTGCTAAGAAGTTTATGAGATTCCATCATATGAAAAGTTTTTTTTCCCCTTATCATGAAGATATCAAAGATGATTTTTTGGGGCCCTTTCCGTGTGTTCATCCTCTAGATCCGCATCTCGAAGATGAAAGCAAAGACAGATGAGGAAAATGCCCTCCCCCGGACCAATTGCTTTTGAACAGGAACACATTTAACCCTCCCCCGGAGGCAGCTTGCGATGTAGGTTATATCCTATTTCTAATTGCTCTGAAAATATGATGATGACAGTGGCTGTGGCGGTGGCTGCTTGGCAATGATGTCAAAAGCCATTGGAAACTGTGAAGATAGTGCGAGGAACGAATAAGAAGATAGTTAAAATAGATGATATTATAAATAAGAGTAAGTAAATAGTAAGTATAAAGTATATGCTTCTAGTAACTAGTGACTAAGGAAGAAAGAGAAAGAGAAGAAACGAAAAGAGGGATATACATTTCAGGTATATATTTTCTATGTAGCAGGAATAATGATAGTGGTGAGTCCATATATTCCGGGTTATAACTTGCAGTACATACTCATAAGTATAATATGCTTAGTTTGTTTATTCTAGATATCACTGTGCTTGATGTATATATAGTATATATAGATTGCTAATATATATACTATATGTGGTGGTGCTCATTGATTGTGGTTGTCATGTCATCTCATTCAACCCAATTTGGTTGAATTTTGGTTGCCAGGAGTTGCAAAGAAAGGACAGAAAAGATTTTCTTATGATCCTCTTTCTCCTTTTTGTTTTGATAATTAATGAACTACAAGAACATATTACTGCATTTTTTTGCTGTGAATAAAAAGGTTTTATATATGGTGTTCTTTGCAAAAATACTATCTGTAGGCAACATGTGGGTGCCTTTGCAGGGGCTCTTATCGATGCACTGACAAAGACGATCTCTGTATTGGGCTTCATTTTCCATGCTTCCCTAACGACGTTTGATCCTCACAGTCAGCTCTCTTTTCTATAAGGCCACTATTCAAGTCATGTAATTTGATGCAGGTAGCGTAGCCTAGGGTTTGGCGCACTTTTCCCTAAAACTCCTTCTGGTCGTTCTGGAGGATTAACTCTTGGCCATCAATGCCAAAGCACCGGACCCTGAGATTTGTTTACTTTAATCCTGCTACACATTGGCTACGACGACAGGAAATCTGTTGTCGAGAGGGAGGAGTCTAGGGAATAGAGTAAAGCTACATCTCAATTCAATATCGGGCGGTCAAGTACCCATATGGACTCGGTTCCAGCAACCTTGGCCCTTCAATCTGCGGAGGCGGGAGACCCTTTGTTGGTTTGATCTACAAATCAAAACTCTTCCCATTTTAAGAATATCCCAGGTTATTATTCTCTTCAAATATCTGATTCTGGGTCCCTTCATTTGATATATGGTTCTGCGTCCCATCCCTCGTAGTAATACTAACTTCGCCTCTTAGTTCAGTGGGGTCTTGCTTGTCCTCGCCCCGATCTAACTTCTTCTAAGTAATGGAACGGAAGGGCATGCTGTTGTTCTGGATTGCTGGGCTCAAGGGTCTACCTGGGTAAGTCCTCTTTTATTCTGTGCAACCGGGACGGGAGGATATGTTCCACCCGAAAGTGCTAGATATCTTCGCCCCAGGCCATCCCCTTCGCGGTTTGCATATCCTTGTTCTCTGCCTCCAGTCAAATTTTATGTATTATGCGACCGGAGGAAGGGGGAACTCGTTCCAGGCCGGATCAACCAGACCCAATGAATAACCAAAACGAACTATATCTGGAGCAACTATCCTTTCTTATCAAGCTGCCTGACCAGCATCTGTCTCACTTCCTCAGAACTTCAGACTGAAAAAGAAAATTTTTTTAAAAAAAAAATCACGAGCAAAGCGTCCCACCCCAATGTGTAAAGGCAGCAAGAAATCGCTTCGCACAATTGAGAGCTAGCGGCGTCTCAGAGATTCTCAGCAAGAGCGATTCAAGGGTTGGTAGTGTTTTTCCTTGCGCAAATTGGACCCTGTTCGAACAACATATGCTCCCGGACAAGAAAATAGGGAGAGGATTGCGGGATAATAGAAGAACGGGAATATAGAAAGTACACTATCAATAACCACTTTTTTGAAACACCGAAACAGCGGCTCTGCGCCCACTGCCGCTGTAGTCGTCGCTCGTTCGCCAAAACCTCTTGCGCATCTCACATAATATAACTGTCCTCGGCTTCGTCAGCCCTTGGATTTACAGGATTGGCTTCCATGGATTCATCGATACAGTGGACGGAGGCTCCGTTGACTGCACCGGCAGGGGAGATCAGCCCCGGGATCCGGACGAGGTATATGCCACATGCTAGCTGGAGGCGACAGTGCGTTGGGTGTAGTTATTGGATTTGGAACACTCAACGATGCGAAGTTGGTGGGGGATGATTGCCCACAGATGGAGTCCAGGTACATCAATGGGGTTTCAATGGGTTAATGGCCTGTTTGATGATATTCCAGGGATTGCTATGATAGATGTTACACCTTGAATATCAAGGAGATGAAAGTATTGTTCATATACTGTGATCTTGGGGTAGTGATTGCTGGGTGAGCTATGTTAGGTGAGTGTTGTAGATTAGATACCAGAGCGGCGGAGTCCAATTCTTCCTCATCCCGAGCACAAAGGGAGAGACGGACAGCAGACATCACAAATGAGCAGGGCCTTTGGGTCAGTTTCTCACTCGGTCAGGTAAAAAATAAAAGGACAATAGTTCATGCTGTTGGCAAGGGCATCAAACTACCTATCGATCCAAATTACTAGAGAATGGAGGGCAACTTTCGACATGAACCTACCTGTCTTGACACCATCCAGCGTTTTGAAATGTGTTGTATAGATGGGGTCCAAGCTGAAACAACCTGAGGTATCAGGGGGTGAGCTGAGTTCGTCCGCGGAAGAGCTAGGCTCCAAGGGATGTTGACAGCGGCCACTAAAAGCATTTTCCTTTTTTTTTTTTTTTTTTTTTTTTGTTGGAGCAACAACGATGACATGGGATGGATTTTCTCGTTGTGGTAGCTGCGGACCTTGTGGTAGTTGTCTTGCATCACTTTGGTTGGTTTTCGGGTTCACCTTGATATGGTCACAATCCAATCGCGTTGGATGCTTGGTGCCATGGGGGGAATCCTATCACAAGTTACAGAGCCACTTTGTGAAAGCCATGATGACAGCTTTTCGTAGATGCATCATTGTCAATCATCAATGCCAGAGGATAGGCTCAAGTCCAAATATTCAAGCGCTCGCTGCAAGATCTCGAATCCTGTGGACGAGTTGGCATCCAGTTAGAGCCGTCTCATGGCTGCGTGGCTTTTGTGCCATTTGTGATGTGCAAGGTGAAGAAAATTAGTGCAGCAATGAGGTTTTGGATAATAATATCTCTTGGCCTCCCAATTTGCTTGCCATCCTGCTCGAAGCACCAGCCGCCTCAAAAGTAGAAATCGCCAACAAATCGATACTCACTAATACCTTGGCCAAGCGTGCCAAACCAAGCCCTCGTTCTGATTATATTTGCCCAGACTTTTATGACAGCAGATATCACCTGTGGAATCGGCAGAGTGAGCAAACTAGAGGCGCTAGCAAATGAGTCGACAAGGGAGGGAAATTTCTCGTCACATCTGGCGATTTTGAGTTTATTTGCTAAGAGTGAGTTTGCCATTTCCTTGTGGAGAAAGGGTGGTAAAGCAGAGCACTGTTGGCACTTTTCATGTTCTGTAGCATATTTAGGTGGGTGAGAACAAATGTGGAGCGAGCAAATAAATTACCTATGTGATAGTCAGCCAGCCCTGGCATCAAAGGTTTGAGAAGAAGCCGTCTCAACCGCACATGGGAGAAGGAGGTCCCAAACGCGGGGTGTTGCAAGACAACAGGAGACAGGGTTGAGCTTGATAGTTACCAATTTTACTTAATGCCACCACCGGGGATAAGACTTAAATGCACATGCCTACTGGTGAACTACTACCAGCAGTGCATAAGAATGTATTTCGGTCAATCATTCAGCTCTTCGGTCAGTATATTGTCAACTATTATGAACATCCCTAGCTGTGCAGTAGTAATGCTTAATTGTTCGATCCAAAGTATCGACATCTGTATTTGTCGAAACTCCCAGGAGGCACTGTTATCCTTCAGATATTGAGATATTGCTGCTGGTGTAATGCTGCTATTTTGGGGGGAATTCAAAAGCCAGTGGCAACAGGTAATTACATGTGAAGACAGCACCTCGTCATCGTCGGTTTTGCTTCCGGTTGTTGTTATTAATAGCGAATTGACTTGTTGATGTTGCTGTTGCCATCACCGTCGCCATCACTTGCGGGGCCTGAGGCATGGCAGACGCAGGTCTCTTACATCAGCAACCCTAACTAACCCAATCAGGTTAGTACACGCCTTGTTATCGCTGAATACGGTAATCTTCACCACCAAGCCGCAGAACTCAAACACCCATGGTTATTGTTTGACTTCCGGCGGCGGCGACGTTGAGCCAACCCAACTAAAGTACCGCTTGACTCTATATAAGCCAGCATGGGCCACTTCACTCGTCCCTGTACCCGTTCTGCATCGTCGAGGCATGTATGTATGTATGTATATTCCCCAACTTCTTTTTCACGTTGTCCAACAAATATCTCGCAGGTTCTTCCTTGGCCCTCTCGGCTTGCTCCACTAAACCTCGTATCTCTGCTGAGCAGATAACACATCCTGGCCCATCCGCCATTCGTTGCTCTCCAGCTGTTGTCAAGGGATAAGACCACCACTCATTGTTGGGAGTTCCGTCCACGGCGGGGTCTTTGACTGAGGCGTGAGCTTGCCGCGATGTCGTCCCCGTTATTTACCCATCCCATCCTCTCGCCGGAAAACCTCCAGACGATCAGAGAACAACCCAGTCCGCTGCCTTCTCCGCTGAAACAGGAACAACAACAGCTACTACAGCCCATCATTGAGGCTACTGATTCCGCAGAGCCCAGTTCGAAGTGTCCATCCGCTACTGCAGACCTCACACACACTTCGCCTCCCATTTCCAATACCTTGCTTCAGGATTATTCCGAAAACATCGATCCTTTGCAATCGAGCGATCCGACCCTCTCTCGCTGCAAAAGTCATGAGCAAAATACCGGCGCACCGCCATCTTCCACAACCACTCATCTGGAAACACTGTCGCTTTCTCCCGGCTTTCCATCCTCTCCGATGGGCCCGACAAGATCGTTCTTACAACATCGCAAAAACGCGCGGTCAATTGACTCTATTCCGCGCCAAACAATATTGAAAGCTCTTGCCTCAAAAGGAAACGGTTCTCTCAGCTGCCATATACCCCCTCCGGCGTCATTGGCTAGTCTGCTCGCTCTTACCAACTCTGAAACGGACAACAGCTCGTCGCGGAAACTCTCTGTTGCACTTCCAAGCTCGAACTTAAGCAACGAGAGAACACCATCCACCGCACGTTTCCCTTTAACATCTCCTTGCTTTTATCATCAGCGATTCGATGATGCCGTCAACATCGATAAAGTCCTTGAGGAGATCGCTGCAGACGAGTGGATGTCGCATTCTAGGTTGATGCAAACCGCGACCGGTGTCCGAGAGGTGTCGAAACAATTGCAACGGCGCCCTATCAAACTGGCAGTCAAGAATGTCATGATTGTTACGAAGGCGCGGGATAACCGCCTAGTGTACCTCACGCGGGAGCTGTCAGAATGGTTACTGAGCACTCCGCGATACGGTAGTGACTTAGGTGTAAACGTCTATGTCGACCACAAGTTACAGCACTCGAAACGCTTTGACGCTCCTGGCCTGCTAGCGAAAGAGCCCCGGTTTGAGCACATGCTGAAGTACTGGACACCCGACCTTTGCTGGTCGTCGCCGGAAACATTCGATCTGGTCCTTACTCTGGGCGGGGACGGGACTGTCCTATATACCTCTTGGCTTTTCCAACGCGTTGTACCACCTGTGCTATCTTTTGCGCTCGGGAGCTTGGGATTCTTGACGAATTTTGAGTTCGAAAAGTACAAAGAACACCTCAATCAAATCATGGGCGACGTGGGCATGCGTGTAAATCTGCGGATGAGATTTACATGCACCGTCTACCGTGCGGATCGAAGACCTGGACATCTGCCTGGAGCAGTTGTGGAAGGCGAGCAGTTCGAAGTTGTAAATGAACTGGTCATTGATCGTGGGCCTTCACCTTATGTCTCAAACTTAGAGCTATATGGTGACAACGAGCTGTTAACAGTGGTCCAGGCAGATGGCTGTATATTCTCTACTCCCACAGGTAAAGTTACCTCTTTAACATCTAATTCCACCTCTACTATAACAGAAAATTTAATTTTACTATCCACAGGTTCTACCGCGTATTCTCTCTCGGCGGGGGGCTCTCTTGTCCACCCTTCAATTCCTGGAATCCTTCTTACCCCCATTTGTCCACATACCCTTTCTTTCCGCCCCATGGTCCTCTCAGATGCCCTACTATTACGCATTGCTGTTCCTAACGCGTCTCGATCTACTGCATACTGCTCTTTCGATGGGAAAGGTCGTATCGAGCTTCGTCAAGGTGACTACGTCACAGTGGAAGCAAGTCAGTACCCATTTCCCACTGTAGTGGCCGGCTCAGGGGAATGGTTTGAGAGCGTCCGCCGTGCACTGCGCTGGAATGTTCGTGGTGCGGTCCAAAAGGCATGGAACGATCCTACCGATGGGGACCTCAACACTGCTGGCGACGAAGATGAGGAAGAGCAATGGGATATCGACCCAGACTCCGACACACCGTTCGGGGCGGGGACTGATAGCGGGCTGGGCCCAAGTGAGGATGGAGAAAGCCCTGGTTCAAGCAGTCCACTTCGGAGGAAATTGAGTTTGCTTAACATGTAGATCTAGATATCTTTCGTCCTTTGTTTTCCCTCCGTTTTGCCATGCACATATATTTTCACAGTCCGCGTTTCACTTTTCACTTTTCATTTTCTTCATATAATGTCTGTCATGCCTGTTATCCTGTACATACATATATACATCATCCGTTTGGCGCACATCTTATTCTTTTCATATTGTTTTTATATTTTAGTATTCTATATTAGAGTGACTTGGAATTGGATTACCGTTATATCGTCTCGAGCTTCATCCTCCTTTAACAAATTTTTTCCAGATGGAGTAATTTGTTTTGCTTGTGGCTGGAGAAGGGTAATCTGAGCTTTGTTACTGATCCGTTATGTCATGAAACCTTTGTGATAATATAGTCATAGTCATAGGCAGTGCTACTTTGCCTCGCATAATACAGCTCATGTTTGTTTGTAAGTTTTAGTAACAAAGATAAAAGCAATCCGAAACACATCGAGTAATGACAGCACGCTGGTGCCACACTTAAATACCTAAATACTCATGGTTTACGCTGCGTAAATACTAGTATCCATGCAGTACTGCCATATGAAGATCAAATATGTGAGCTTAAAACCCCGTTTCAGCTTCCTAAGGGCCCAGGACGCTCCCAAAACCCTTTCTTTCGTTCCTTTCTCTCTTCCAAAAGGAATTGGTTTGAATATGTAACATTGACAAAGAGAAATATTCCGGCTCTCTTCCTTCAACTATCCAGAATTCCATCAGTTGCTAGATACATAATACCCCCTTTGTGGCAAAACCACAAACTATTGGTCGTGCTCGCGTGGTCAAAGCCTAGGATAGCCATGGAATCTTCTCGGAGACAGTTTCCTATTTTTGGAGACGATCCAGCATTTGCACGTATCCAAGCGCCATGTGCCACTTTCGCCACGATCTTTCTCTCTATACTATCTTTCGTGGCCCAGAGGGTGGATGCAGCGGTGCTACATGACATGCCTCCAAGAAGGACGAACCGTTCAGTTCTATATCTGTCTGGCGTATCTTATATATAGTACCGCTGAATTCAGTGCGTGACACGTAGTGCCAAAATAGTCTCTGTTCCGCTGCCGAATATTGTACGGCACAAGGCCATCAACGTATTGCTGAACGCGTCATCTCTAGCCGATTATAGAAGCACCGGGGAACTCGCCCGAGTATCAAAGAGCCGCCAGCACTAGTGACTAAAAACGGAAAGGGAACTTGAATTAATTGAGTCAACTGTAACAAATAAGTCGAATGCAATATGGAGCTAAAGTGGCAAACGTATAAGGGGGCGCATTTCATATGACTACCCGCATGGACATCACACTATCAACTTTCGATAATTTCAAAATTTCTTAGGGGCCCCCCGACTGCCATTGGATGAGCAACGGGCCGATTCAGTTCGACCGTTGAGCAAAGCGGCCCGATGACCAAAAACCAAGGCACAGCGAACGGCGTTCTAGCTTCCAGACAAGCTTGGGATAAAATGTCCACGAACTCAAGAAATCCTCGTTTTCTATCATCAATTAAAATTAATTGATTCCTCCAGGCGCGCCTTGATGGTTACTGAAAGTGCAAAGAAATTAAAAGCATTAGTGAAATGTAGGGGCAGCCCTAGATTGGTGGCAACGTTTTCAATGATTCGTATGCACAACACTGCATAGGAACGGAGAATTTGACATTGAATCACATACTCGGGCCAACGACAAGGATAAAACGCAAAAATCTCCGCCTCTTCCACTAAGAGCCGGCTGGCAACATGCCACAGCATGTCACCAGTCACAGCTATCTGCCAGGATGACTGCCAGGGCTTCGAGCCATTTTCTGTCGACTTCATCAAATCCAGATGGCTGGGTGCAGTCAATGTCGATTATAGCAACGGTCTGATAAGGTGATTCTCTTAGTTAGGCGCAAAAATATTTCGAGCCGTGCTGCCACAAATTCACAGACCAATGTTCAATATTTGCACGCTTACGCTTAGGGGAAATAGAACTCACCTCTCCATTCACCAAAATGGGGACAACAATTTCACTTCTACTCTCGGCATCACAGGCAATATGGCCCTCCCAGTTGAGCACGTCTGGTACCAACACGGTCTCTCGCTTTTCAGCTGCTGTCCCGCACACCCCTCGTCCAAATTGGATCAACTGGCATGCGGGTTTTCCATGGAAAGGGCCCAGTAGCAGGGTTTGCGTGCCTGGCGTTTCCTTGGTATCTGAGCCGGCAAAAACCAAAGATGGAAATCTATCCTGCCGGACGTAGAAACCAGCCCAATTCACGGCAGAAGAGGGTGCGGGGAGAGCAGCATATGCATGCCACAACAAGGAAGAAACATTGGCAAGGTTGCTGTATCCACAATGAGGAGTGGTTCAATTGCAATGCCTCCAATGATGCAGTTAGATTCAGGCGTACCTCACCTGAATTATTTCCGTATAAGTTTTCTTGTTAGTATATGTTATCTCGTATATTGCCATCAACGGACTAGAATAGATGGAGATAGATCGGCGACAGCTAGGAGAGATATACCCAATTCCGTTGACCATCCAGCAAGCCTTTTGCTTGTTCGAGGACCTGACTATAAACTTCTGTTTTTGTCAAGCCAGGCGCGAAATACGATGAATCTGCGTGCGGCTACGTGTATTTGTTGTCTCCGTTAGATAAGGGGTTTCCAAATCTCGAAGGTCTTCAGGCTAGGTGTGGCATACCATGTTTACGATGGTTAGGATGGCAACAAGAGAAAGGGACAATAATGTAATTTATATTGAAGGACTGTGATATTACAATAGGTATATACAGCAGGAATGATGAGTGAGGATGCGGATAGTGAAGTGGACGTTGTGTAACCTTATCCTTCAGATTAGATAACTAACAACATCAAATACTTAACTAGTTACCCCTCTTAATTTGTAACGTTCCTCCTCCCATTGCTGCTAAGAGCGAGGTTCGCTTTAGTTACAAGAACATATACATAGTCAAGGTTCGACCCTTGATTTGTTCTGTTAACTGCTTTATTTATATCATCAAGTTGCGTCTGTTGTTTGAAGATTTAATACTATCTTGGCCGATCGTGTCGAACTGCCGAAATTCGGCGGCGGATAACAAAGAACTAATCGATCGGTTCACTAACCAAGAAGTGGATATTCCATCTCCATCATAGTATCTTCTCCAAATTTGATTAAGGGGATGCTCTCTGCAGCGTGAGAGTTTCTCATTACGGAACAGGGGTAAACTCATCCATCGCTGGGTGTGACCGCTCTACCATTTGTACTGCAGCCAAACTTTTATTATCTTTCAGTCGAAGATGCGCTCCTCCCGTTTGCTTTTGCTCCAGCTTTGGGCGGAATTGAACATCGCTGCAGATATTGTGTTTTCCTCAGCTGCAGTCGTTCATGGTGCAACAGCACAAATGCCCCTTGGACTTGATGATACCATCGATATTGTGTCTGACAGTCAGTTCTCCGGACTAATGACCTTTGCGAATGTACCGTATGTCAATTGCTTCGTGGATAGCGAGGCAACGAAACAGCCATATGACATTGCGTTTATGGGAGCACCTTTTGATACGGTATGCTCAAGTTCTGTTATACATGAGTGAAAACTACTATGCCTAGTATGACGGGGGACATCGGCTTGTTTAATTTTATATTGCACACTGCTTATCAATATACTCGCGATATACAGGGCGTAACTGCTCGCCCTGGTGCACGATTTGGCCCTGGAGGGATCCGTCAGGGTTCCCGGCGCATTAGGCCAGATGGCGCCTGGAGCATCTACACCGGAGAAAACGTGTTCGCAAGTTGGGCAAGCATTGTGGATTGCGGCGACGTTCCCTTGACTTTCTTGGATAATACCGTCGCTTTGAAGCAACTTGGCAAGGCACATAAGGTGAGTTTCGTTATTATTAACCGGAGTCATGGGCAGGGCTTTCCAATCACACATATTCGGATTTCGTTCGACAAGTAGGGATGCCTTCTAGACATATATGATGGCTCTTCATCTCCATCGTAACGGGTTATACATCGTTTCGAATCTCACATCTTCTCACAGGTTGTTTCGTCTCGACCCGCCAATTCCTCTGATGTTTCGACGATCCCTCGCATAATTACGCTTGGTGGCGACCACACGACAACTCTACCAGCGTTGCGATCAACATATAAGCATTGGGGCCCAGTCTCCGTCATTCATTTTGATAGTCATATCGGTTGGTGTCACCAGCCCTCAAGCCGCCTAACATGAAATTTGGTCGAGCTGGGCATATATTGTGATTTTCGAGGACCTGTTGGCTAAGACTCCCTAAAATTTAGACACATGGGACCCTTCTGTGCTAGGTACACATAGCAATTCTCATATCTCCCTTCCATGTATGTGACCGTAGTAGCAAATAAACTAAATCTAAACATAGGTGGCGGCATTTCAAACTATGCGTGAGTTTAGGGCATCTGCTAAAAGCTTCGTATTTCAGTTCAATAACTTACATTCACACCCAGCGGTGTCAATCACGGCACATTCCTCCATATCGCCCATGAAGAAGTAAGTATCCAAGCACTCAATGTTCCGAATGCCTAATTTCCCCGAGTCCCTGCTGTACATCAGCTCCCTTGCATTCATTGCTCTCATGCTATTCGTCCCAGGGCCTTGTCCTCAACTCCTCCTCCATTCACGTCGGAATTCGGGGGCCCGTAGTGCGTCCCAAAAATGACATAAAAAATGATATCCAGTGCGGGTTTGACATCATCACAGCCCGCGACATTGACCGCATCGGCACAAGTGGCATCGTGGAGAAGATTCAAAACCGCGTCGGGAACAATAAGGCGTATTTAAGTGTTGATATTGATGTGTTGGATCCTGCATTCGCACCTGGTATGTAAGCTGGTTTTCGTTTTCGAATTAAGTTCTCTCATTCTGCTCGACAGATGGCCATTGTGGATTTAAATCTGCTGCTAATTGTGCCCACTGAAGCAACCGGAACACCGGAACCCGGAGGGTTCAGTACTCGTGAGCTTCTCACCATCCTCGATGCGCTTGCAGACACCGAAATCCAGGTCGTTGGTGCTGATGTCGTTGAAGTTGCACCTATATATGATACAGCTGGGGAATCAACAGCACTAGCAGCGGCAGAAGTGGCGCATTCACTGTTGGCGCTGATGGTTAGCGGGCCTTTCAAATAGATGCTGTTCCATTATGGTGAAATAAGAGGGGCGAGTTTGTGGTCGACTGTGGTATCTCAATGTGACCTAACGGGAGGTAGTGTCATGTCGAGTAGTAGCTAAGGCTGAATTGAAACGAGATAATTCCGGGAACGGCATATACCTAAATCCAATATGCATGATGTGACAGTAGCTCCAATGGGGCTCTCTCAATAGGTGATATGATAATAAGCTGATCGTCTCTCTCCTCTCTTATCCGGGATTTGCAGCAGTTTAGATGGTGCGTTTTGAATGAGGGATGAAACGAAAATGTATTCTTCTCTTCATTCTTCAGCCCCTCACCTACTCACACTCATTCCCTTCTTTTGCCAGATTATCGTATGATATTTTCAGCCTAACGCCCAAATGTACTAGTATGTATGATGTGCCGTAAACATGCATATCTTCAAGGAATTGTTTCCATGCCAATGGTCTAGTTTTAGAGCAGTAGTCCACCAGAGCTAGCGAGGGGGCAATACGGCGGTAACGAAAGACATTCCGATCAACGTGTAGTCAGGTAATCCATGTATGTATGTGCGTATGGAGAGTGGGTTGATATTGGGTGCGGATCGTGCCCACGTGACTCAGGGGCCAGCCTCGAAGCTCTTTATCTTTGTTGCACATGGGGCGTTGCTTGGATTTATCCCTACTCTTTGCTGAACATTTTATGCTCCAGTTGAAAATATTATCTGCATGATGTTTATCGAACGCCGCCTTCTCCGTGGGGTGACTACTTATTCTGCCGTTGTGGAGAGTGAGACTAATTATCTCCTCAAACTGACATATTTTGACGAGCGGACGAAATTCTTTGCCCTCATCCACGAATCCCGGGCTGAGATCGAAACTACTGTTGCATATCATCTTGGTCTCGAGTCGTCAAAGCAATGCCACGTTGAGGAAATGGCACAGTGGATACACGGCACTTTTAACGTTTGTGTCCCTGTTCGAATTGAACCTTCTCAAGACCGGGTAATTATAAGGTTTACGCTGCCATATCGCAACGGAGAAAAAGTTTTCCCTGGGAACGCCGATGAGAAAGTCCGTTGTGAAGCTGGGGCGTATGCGTGGTTACAGCAGGAGTGTCCATCTATCCCAATTCCGTATTTACATGGCTTCGGCTTATCGAACGGTCTACATGTTCGTCGGATCTCTGAAATTCCTAAATTTTCTCTTACTGACTGATGTTCTTTACTACAGTTTAGATCTGTGAGAAATTTTCCCTGGTTATCTCGATGGGCGCAGAAGCTCCGCCAGGCCCTGTTGTCGATGTGGCACCGTCAGCAACCCTCCAACTATATCCCGACCCACGCCTTAACGCTTCCAAATTCAATTGGGTCATATTTGGTGATGGATTATATTGAAGAGTCAGAAGGACAAATGCTGTCTGAAACATGGGACGAGTATCGGGAAGACAAAAAGCGTCTTACGAATCTCTTCCATGGGCTGTCAGGTCTAATGCTACAAATGAGTCGAATCAAATTGCCAAAAATTGGATCTTTTATTATCGATGATACCGGCTTTCTCAGGTTGGCGAATCGACCACTTACCTCGATGCTTCAAGAATTAGAAAATGCAGGGGTTCCAATGCATATTGCGAGGGACCGCACCTTCACAAGTGTAATTGCATACGTCGCTGATCTCCTCGCATATCATGACAATCAGCTTCGACAAAACGCAAATGCTGTCAAGGGCTTAGGTGACTGTGTCAGTCAAATATGTGCGCTAACAATCATGAAAGCTGTAGCACCACAATTTTATAATCATGACTATGACGCTGGTCCGTTTGTATTCTCCTTGACTGATCTACACCAGAGCAATATCTTTGTCGACAAAGACTGGAACGTAACCTATATAATCGACCTGGAATGGGCTGCTTCCCTTCCTGTTGAGTTCATCCAGCTGCCGCACTGGTTGGCTGGCAAAGAGGTTGATGGAATCGAACCGGACCTTTACACCGCCTACCTTGAAGAATATGTGGGCATTCTGAGAGAGGGCGAAAAGAAGGTGGACGAAGCTGAGAGTCATCCATTTAAGTTGTCTCACACTATAGATTCCGGATGGAAGGTGGGCACATTTTGGTTTAACCTCGCTCTGCGGAGTCCGCCTGCAATGCATTCACTGTTCTACAACAGGATCCAACCTCAGTTCGCCTCGCAACACTTGAAGGATCAGGAATTTTATAAGGTTGTCGCATTCTACTGGTGTCGCGAAGCCAGTGCCTTCATTCGGACAAAGTGCAATGACAAAAAAAACTATGATATCCGGCTTAAGGAGGCATTTCAGAGCAACGATTAGGTACAAAAACCCATGTATCCCAGTGCAGTCCATCCAACATTCAACTTCTGTTTCGCCTGCACGTTGAGCTGCATTGTTTCAAAGGCCCCTCCCACATCCATACGACATTTAGCTATTCTCCCTTGATTTATCATTATTATTTGCAGTGGTGCCTTGCTCCGCCTCCATGTCGAGGAATGTGTTCTGGAGGACTCTGTCTAAGACGTTCCGTGCCCTCTTTTCCTTCGCAGCCGCACTGGAACTCGTTAGTTGTTTCAGGGTCTGCAAATCGGCAACCAAGGTCCCGGTCGCCTCTTTTGTCTCAGACTCGCGCTGACCCGAATTCTGCGAAGTTTTGGAGGACGACTGCGTGTTTTCTTCCGGCATCGTTGGAATATTCTGCAAGGCGTTTAGTTTTGGAACTCAACAGCCAGCACCGAACATGACATGCCTGTTTGTATCTCCCGTACAGGGATAATACCGAGAAGATGAGCTTTGTTTTGATTCAATAATTTAATTTAGTTGAATACATAGTTCTGAATGGAAGTGGAAGCGTTGTTGACCGAACAAAACCCTCTACCGGCAGCATTGATATACTGGCACCGATACCCCGCAGCCATAATCATTCTTCTCGGTACCAAGATGTACTCATTCGGACGCTGCTTGTTTGTTAGCCTTGTCCTTGGCTTAGAATCAAAAATGAGATTCATGGGCACGAATTGATTGATTGGTATGGCTGCCTGCAAGGCTGGCCGAACTTGATGCCCGTGCAGTGGGAAACTCTATGTATTTGGTCTAGTGCAACGCAGCTGGACGTTTCCATTGTGAGCAGGATGCATCCTCTTATGACAAATAAGCATCATGGATGTGTGAATATCAGGCATCATTACAGCTTGTTTTTTCCCCATAACATTCGACGCATTTTCTCCGGCAGAACAAAATCCGCTGTAACAAATCCCATTCATGAGATCGGCATATTTTCAACGATGACCTGATTATCGTTTTGTCCAGCCTTTCCTTAAGCTTCTTGGTTCTCTTTCCGCGCATGACTGAAATGAGCAGCAGAGCAACCGTTCTGGCAAACCCTTAGCCCGTAGTCAGCTTTCATCTCCACCAGCCAAAATATGCCTGACATTACGTGGTCTCCTTCTGTCAAAAATGTCAACCGCTAATCTTGTCGGGTTCCATCAATTAACCCTTCCAGCTCACAAGTTGTGTTGATGTATCCCCAACTGCTAAATACCATATGCAGGAGCATTTACAGAATGCTGCTTGTTGCAAATAAACGCCTGTGCATACGGGAGGGGTGGAGCAAAACAGTCCTTGTGGCACAACTCGAAAAAATTTAAAATGGAAAACCTCAATATCAGAGTCTCGATGACCCCTAATGGTCAGGGTTTTGGGAGGCTTGACGCTTTCAGTTGAACAGGGCAAGCTTTTAGGGAGCGCCAATGGAGCCTTCTAAACTAACCCCCAAATCTTTTTGGGGTTCTGCCAGAACTATATACAGTTTGTGGCGGGATAGTGGACCAGTACAAATAAATGAATCGTAGCCCTCAATGTCTACTGCACATTCACACGGGCGAAAGCCTGCTCACCCAAATAAAAGTCAATGAACGACCTGATTTGAGATGGCAACCAAACAAAAACAGAAGCAAAAAAAAAAAAAAAAAAAAAAAAAAAAAAAAAGAAAAAAAAAACTCTAGAAATCCATCCATCTGAAAAGAAACATAGAGTGACTGCGACGTCGAAAATGACTTTATTTTATCTGATATATGATATATGGGTATTGTAACAACTATCGTATACACACACGAGTGACAAGACGCAGAAGTTTTAAGTAATGGTAGGGAGGATAATGCACTCGAACCCATAGCAACAAACCCCCATCCAGCCATGAGAAAAAGTAAGAAAAGTAAAGACAAATACAAAATACAAAAAGGGTGAGACAACACGAAAGGGGAATATGGGAGGAACGTACTCGAGGGATTACCATTCAATTTATTTTGTAATAGGCGGGGAAACCAGGAAGAAACGAAAAGAAAGAAAGAAACGAAAAGAAAAAAAAAAAACAATAGAAATAAAAATAAAAATTAACGGCAAAAATTAATAGCCGCAGACGAGATATGTGTATGGAAACGAAGCAATCTCTTATACCATCAACAAAGCAGTTACAACGAGCATCGACGCGCCGACGACGACGGGGTATCTAGCCTGTAGGCCAACAGCGGCGTTCCCACTACCCGGTTTGCTAGATTTGCCATCTACAGCTCCAGATCCCGGTTCAGCACCACCAGATGATCCAGTGCCTGCATTCTGGCTACCGGAACCGTCCAAGCCAGGCCCTTTGCCAGCACCTTTCATGATGTATTGCTTAGCCGGCTCAGGGATGGCGGGAAGGGTGTCACCATCGACATCCCAGTCGGGAGCATTCTTCTTAGGACATGGGTTGGCTCCACCAGTCTTGTTGTACCCACCATCACCGTCTGGGTTCTTGGTGGCAGCAAAAGCTTTCTTCAGCGTGTCGAAATCTTTGAGAGGCACAGCCTGGCCGTCCTCGAGTTTGACTAAACCGTAGTTATTGGGTTCCTCGGAATACTCATAGACGAGACCACCAGAGTAGACGCTGGTCATTTTATCGGAGTATAGAGCCTTCACTTCGTTCCATTCGCGTGTGTTGGTATTGCACCCGAACTCCGAGAGGAAAAGGGGCAGTCCGTAACCCGAGAATAGCTCGACCTTCTTGTTCCAGCCGGATATTTCGAAGGTGGATGGATCACACCATGAATAATCATTGAAAGCAAAGAAGTCGCTGCGCTCGTCGTCAGGGCCGCAGTTCATGTATTGCGCCATCTGGAAGCGGTTGGTGTCGACATCGGCCTGTTGAAATACAAAACGGGGAGTTAGCCTCGGAGTGTTTCTCCTCTCGTTCGTACATCATAACTTTGCTGCCATTCATACCGCAGAGTAACCGACAGGGACTGCTCTCAGGCCCTGCTGACGAAGATATTGGCGCATATCGCGAGTGACCGCCTTGACGTAAGGGGCGGTTTTCGAGGAAGGGCCATCATTGACTACTTCGTTTCCAGAGAAGAAAGCCTGTAGTCGTCATTAGCAAGCTTATCTGAATAGACAGCCGACAACTTGTTCAGGGGTGTTTAATCATACCAATGTGTTGTCGTATCGGGCGAACATGTCAAGGGTCGCAAATACGTTCTGGAGGTAGACGTCATTGTAGGAAGGCTTGGGATCTGTGGGAAAACCGGGTGGAACAAAGGTCAAAATAAATCACCCTCTGAATTCAATCTCATGCCGGGAACAAGGACGTACGTACCCTTCCTGTTAATGGAGTACTTGGGGGTGTTGACATCGAGGACAAGGTAGATGCCAGCATCTGCCAAAGCTGCCATGCACTCGTCGTGATTCTTGCTGTTATCGACAGTGTAAATACGGATAGTGTTCAGACCCAGTTCCTTGAATTTGGCGATGTCGCTTTTGCATTCCTTGGCATCGGCAATTGGATCTTTGAGCTTGGAAGCTCCGCCCTGGAAATGATATTAATTTCAGGAAATGCTCTCCTCCACTTGGTTATCGGGACAGCAAGGGCGAGTTGAACTTTGGACGAACCGGTTGATAATCACTAAAGCGAACAAAACATCAAATTAGAATGCATTTCGAAGTTTTAAGCGGGGGGAAAACATAAATAAATGGAACTAAATTGATAATATTAAGAAAGAGATGGGAAGGGGTTAAGCTGGAACTTACACTCCACGCATGTAAAACCGCTTGTCTCCCTGCCAGAATGCTAACAAACACAGAATAGCCCAGTCAACATACCAGCCGACGCTCGGCATTGGGACTTGCCAATTCATTCAAGGGCCAAAGATGATTTCTTGACATACCGTTTCCCTTGACCGTGATGGGAGTAATCTTGCTCGCTCTGGCGCGCACATCGCTGGCCACACCGGCGAAAGCGGACGAGGCCCCCAAGACAGCCGCCGTTAACACGGACACAGCTGTGGTTTTCATATTGAAGATTGGGCGCTAAATCTCCGTAGACCGCTGTGGAAGGTGTCAATGAGCAGGTTGTCTTTCCGTCTTTCCTCCTTTCTTTTGCTTTTTTTTTTTTAATTTAATTAACAAGATTTTCAGTTCCTGTATGAATAGCAACGAAGGACCTGGTGGCGGTGGGAAGAAGTTTGATTAAAGATTGTAAAGAGAGTGAATTTTTTCCTTTTTTAAACGAGAGAATATGAAGAGGAGAAAAACACAAGAAGCAGGCGATGCTGGAAAGAACGAAGGGCAGAGGCGTCCCTCTCGAAGATGCAAAGGAAGGAGTCAAAGAGGGAGTGAGAACGACAGAAAAGTTCCAAGTTGGGTGGATCGATCCAAAAGTGAAACAAAACGGAAACTCGATCAGTTAAAAGCCGGACACGAAACATGGTTAAGGACAGGACTCGTACTTGGTGCTGTGGGCCTGGCGGCGCCAGAACCAGGATTTCGCCAGGCGGATCCTTGGGGACGGACTGCCTGTTTATTGGCTCTTGGGAGGGGGAAGCCCTTCCAGGTTGGGCATATCCATCCCTGGACGCGGGCCTCCAGCATCCCTAACAGGCCCCAAGGATTTAGTTAAGGATAGGCTGGTTTCGGAGGGGGAGATCATCTGCATGCACATCCAACACTTCCAAACAACTAATCAACCCAACGTCCTCAGACACAGAAAAGGAGGCCTAGAGGATTATCTCACACCGTGCACAACTAATAGCCCCACAGATCCACCTCCATTTCTCCCTCCTCCACTCGATCCCACCGGCCATCCCGCCATGCATCATGCCTTCGCACAGGGACAGGCACCACAAGCCCATTAGCGCCGCGCCACCCGCTCCACGATCGCCCGGTCTTCGTCTCTGAAACATACAAGCACCGCCAAGCAGCCACCAACGAGCGAGAATCCTCGTCCTGGCGCTGAGCACTTACGTGGCTGCTGGAGTGCCACGCAGCTCTTGGAAGTTTGCGGCTGGCTTGCCCCATAATTCTCCTTTTTTCTTTTTTTTTTCTTTTTTCTTTTTTTCTTTTTTTTTTTTGGCTGTGAAAGTGTTGTATTTAACCCCTCCTCCCCTCCCCTTTTTTTCTTGTTTTATTGGAGACTAACATGCGATCATAAACCGGCGAATAACATTTCACTTAGATTTCTCGCAGTGTATTGGGCACAGTCTTAAACTCCAATTCAAATTTTGCCGCTGCCACAAAGCAAGCGAGAGGAAGACATATTCAGTCCTCCGTGAGAAGAGAGATACGGATAGGAGGGGCAAGCTATGACAGCACGAAGTAATGACAATACGAAACATGAACAGAAAGAAGGAAAGAAGGAAAGAAGGATTACGCGCCCCGAGATAGTTAACCAACTAGTTATATGTAAAAACTAATTCAGCCAAGCACGAATTACAACAAGATAAAAGGTTGCTAACTGCCCATAAAACGAACGGTATATCCCAAAAACTGCAATAGAAGAAATGAGCATGGTAAGGAGGAGACGGTAACAAAAACATGCAATGCTGCACCAAAACGTGTGAAGAAAAAAAGGCAAGAAAAGCACGAAATGTATAGTTATATAATGTTGGACATTCGTAAATAAACGATAACTTTGCAGGAGAGGGTAACAAAAACCCATCCTAGCTCTATGTAAATCTGTAGCTCAACTCAAGTTGCAATCCTCCCAACCCCAGCCCGCAACCTCTCGAGTCAAAACACAACATATGCACATCAAACAATTGACCCTACACCTCTTCAATGTAATTTGCAGGGACACTCTTCGTCTGGCCCCCCTTCTCAACATCAGACCACCCATTCCCACTATCCCGGTTCACAAGCACAAATCTATCCCCTTCCGCCATGCTCCACTCCGCGTCACTGCGCGCTTCGTAGTCGTACAGCGCAACTACATATTGCAGCTTCTTCGCTCCGCGCTTGGGTGCCACTGCCGGACCACGTCGTTTGCCCGCAACGCTGTTGGCTAGAGACGCGCTGGAGTTTGAGTAGGTGGATCCTGGGCGGTCGGGGAGGCCGGGCTTTGGTGAGAGCGCTAGTGATGGGGTGAAGATTGCTTCGACGTAAGACGCTGGGACGAGGCCGGAGCGGGAGCCTGCCCGAACGCGCATCCAGCCGGATCCGTCTACATTTTTATAAAAATAAAAAGGTTGATGTCAGCGGATGTGAGGTGTTTGGGACGAGGGAGGGAGCGTGGGGAAGAATGGGAAGGGGGCAGAAACCGTCATTGGGGGAAAACATTACCATCTGGTTCAACAATTATAACTTCACGGCCTTCTTCAACTGTAATTTCGTCCTCGCCGTTGGCGTCATATGGATACATCATTTTGCCTCGAGCTTCGTTAGATTTTACAGATAAGCCACGGCTGCGGCCCCCACCTCCACCGCCGCCTCCGTCAGCCTCTCCTTGGTCGGCTGGAGGAGGAGGAGCGCTGATGTATTGTGCGGGTGGGGGCGCAACAATTCGGTTTCTTCGGGGAGCAGTAGCCGGTTTCGTGGTCGTTGATGGAGCAGATGCTGGAAGCTCCGTTGGCCCTTCTTCGGCAACTTGTGGCGTTGAGAGTACAGATACAGAGCGCGCTGCGCTGGCCGCATATCCTGAGCTTAGGGAATTCATAGTATCTCTGCGACTCAGTGTAGGTAACTCCGACGCCCCATTGGTGGGTGAGGATATATCAACCGAAGCCCTTGAGCTGGCTGTTTCTTGTCTTTCTATTTTCAGTTTCCTTTTCTCTTCCTTAGTCTGCTCGCCAGGGCATTCCGCCGGGACTTTCATTTCGCATTTGCTGTGGCAGGTGTAGCCACAATCCCGACAATCGAAACCCTTTGCCGAGAGGCCCCAGATCCTCTCACCGCAAAGATCGCAATTGGTGGGAATTTTAAACGTTTGGGATCGGAAATTGTGGTTCTTAGCTCCAAAGGATAAGTCGCCGACAACCGATATTATAGTCGATGTCTCAACCTCTGCTGTTAATCGTTTACGGTCCAGCAGGTGAAGGTCTTCTTGCATGGCAAATATAGCCCGAACAACTTCCGCTTCATCTCTCTTATCCTTCCCGTCACGAATGTTTTGCCGTAGCTTTTTTGCGTTCTCGACCTCCTTCCTTTTTTTATCTGCCTCTGCCTTCAGCTCTTTTGCCTGGGCTTTGCTCTTCACTAGAGTATTTCGGAGGAAAACCTTTGAAGTCTCGTCCGTGATCATCGTGGCGTCATCGTGCCATACAGGGCTTGGCTCAAATTGCATGTCTGCAGGGTCCTGCCAATTTGTCATGTTGTGCCGAATAAACATTGTAGAGTCGAGCCTGGGCTCGTTACGTGGAATTTCAGATATCAGATGGGAAACATGTTGGTCGCATTTCGTCAAAGTGTTTTTTTCCAGTTGCGCGGCCAACATCCAGATCGAATTCAATTTAGACACTCGGGTTTCATTGAGATCTTGTAATCCCTACGATAATAATAGTTATTCAAAATTGGTCAGTACTAAGCAAGTGGTAGGAAATGATTCTCATACATTCAGCAGTTCTGGGACATATTCATAGTAGTATTTCTCTTTTAGTTTATTCGCTACATTTATAGAAATTAGGTACGTATTCTGTTGTCAAATTAGCATAGGGTCTCCTATGGCTTGGTTGGTCGTTCGGCCATACCTTCACATTATTCATCTCAAGAGTCTGTTGTTGATATGCCACTTGCGCCTTTTGCTTTCCATGATCGAACGAAGATTCCGTTTTTTTCCGTCGGTTTTCTACCTCCTGACAGGCTCCATCATATTTGCCCTTCACCTTCTTTAGATCACTATATGTGGAATCTCGTTCCTTCTCTAGCTTGCCCGCATAGTCAACATGGTTTCTTCGGAGTTCCTCAAACCGCACCGCTGCCTGCTTCAAAGGCTCAGCAACTTGGAAAAGCAGGTCTGAGCCGAAACGATCCCGGTCTGCCGCTTCCGCCTCAATAGCAGAGAGTTGTGTAGTCCAGGTAGTCAATGACGCCGATTCTAATGATCCAGGAGTCAACGACGGAGTATCTCCCACGCTCAAGCTACTCGACTTTTTGGCCTTGCGCTCATGGTACTTTCGACATAATCCGGTAAGTTTCGCAGCGTATTCTTTCTCGATAGCGCTTCGTTCACGATAGAACTGCTGGACTTCTTCGAGCCACGCAATACCATTCGACACCTACACGTTTTTGACTTAATATCCTGGGACGAAAAGCATTCCGTAATCGTAAGGGACTGCTGTAAAGTGGAAATGGACGGAAAGGAACATGCGCACGGGAGTGCGGGGGAAAAGGAGGCGTACCCAGGCATTGACAGGTTTAAAGGCATCCTAATCAATAAGCAGCATTTAGCTTACAGACTCATTCTGAGGACGGAAGCACAGGGAATATACCCTCAATTCAGACCCAAACTGTGGAGAAGTATCAACATCCGTCATTGTTACTCTTATCCAGCTCCATGCAAGGCGTTGTGAAGTGGCGTGCGCACTTTCGTTGGAGATGCAATAAAGGGAAACTACGGGCTCCGTAGCAATAAATACAAAAAGAAAGTGGCGATCGCCGTTAGACTAGGTCAGAATATTCAACCACAACGGGAAGAATCCAGGATAGAAAAGGGTCGCCAGAGCCCAAGCCCACTTCAGCCACCTCCGACAAGCCACATTTGTCAGCCACTTCCCCAGTCGACAACTAAATATTATTTAGGACTAGTGGACTTCTGGAAGACTTTTGCCAAGATTTTCACACGAAAACAGACTAGTGGGCAGGCTGCCATTGATGACTCAGCAGTATATGAAGCTTGGATGCTGGCTTTGCGACAAAACATCTTCCTGGCCCAGCGACGACGGTGAAGAAGACAGCCGGATTTGTTGTCATTCACCGTCATTTCTGCTGGTGAACCAATGCCTGATTTGGCACAATACCGCTGACACACCCGTCCTCATTTTCGTCTTTATTCCTCATCCCGATATATATATCTCGCGCGAATCTACGGGCCCCTCCATTCATTTTCACACCCCTCCTCAAGCTCGACTCCTCCTACTAAAGCTCTCTACCATCTACGCTTGGACATTTATTCGAGTTTCCTACATTCCATTCACAGTCTCCATCCATTATAGATTCATTTTAACATCATTCGCATTTTTCCCATCTGAAAATGGCGACAGAAACCCCCGCGGGAGGGCCGCTCGAAGCCCGCATATCTCGTGCAGAACCCAAGACAGATGCTTCTGCTGCATCTGAGCCTGCTACTGGTAATTTCCCCTATGTGCCCGACTTGGATAACCCTGTCGCAGCATTCCATCTAGTTTTTTGTTTTGTGTCATCATTGACTTTGTGACTTAGGAGACACCACAGAGACCCCCGCTGCTTCAAAACCTCCAGCTGCGGATGGCCAAACGGATGGAGCCTCTGAAGGTTTCGGAGGATCCCAACTACAGGAACCGGATTACTCGGTCAATGTCAAACTGAGCGACTTGCAAGCGGACCCAAATAATCCGTTATACTCAATTAAAAGTTTTGAGGAGCTTGGGCTGTAAGCCATTTTGATTTCACAACCCCATTCCCATCCCACACTCTGTTACCGGAGCTCATTGTAACCGCAAATACAGACATCCATCCATCCTCCAAGGTCTACATTCCATGAGCTTTCGTCGTCCCTCTAAGATCCAGGAAAAAGCCCTGCCGCTTCTCCTAAATAATCCCCCGACGAACATGATTGGCCAATCACAGTCCGGTACTGGGAAAACCGCTGCTTTCGTCCTGAACATCTTGTCTCGTCTTGATCTGTCTCCCCAGATGGAGCTTGCACCGCAGGCATTGGTACTTGCGCCCAGTCGTGAGTTGGCTCGCCAGATAGTGGGTGTCATCCAAGTTATGGGATCGTACGTCGACAAGTTGAAAGTTGCTACCGCCGTGCCTATGGAATCGAATCGCAATCAAAAAGTTGAAGCCCCCGTTGTTGTAGGCACCCCGGGAACTGTGATGGATCTCATCCGGAAACGGTTATTCAATCCGCAACATTTGAAAGTTATTGTGCTCGACGAGGCAGACAATATGCTTGACCAACAGGGCCTAGGGGATCAATGTATCCGCGTTAAAGGGTGAGTTTCCGCACCACCCATTTATATTTTACGCATTTCCCTTCTGAATAATGTCGATACAGGCTGCTCCCAAAAAATATTCAAGTTGTGCTCTTTTCAGCCACATTCCCCGATCACGTCGTTCGTTATGCCAACAAGTTTGCACCGAATGCAAATCAGATTACTCTTAAACATGAAGAGTTGACAGTTGAAGGCATCAAGCAACTCTACCTTGACTGTGACTCTGATGAGCACAAATTCGATATTCTGGTGAAGTTCTACGGCCTACTTACCATCGGATCATCAATTATTTTTGTAAAGGTAACATTTTCCCATATAACATACGATCCTCGACGATGCACTAACATCGATCTATAGACACGTGCTTCAGCAGCTGAAATTGAAAGGAGAATGGTGGCTGAAGGCCACACCGTCGTGTCCCTCACTGGTGGCGTTGAGGGCCAAAAACGTGACGAAATCATTGACAAATTCCGCCAAGGCGACGCGAAAGTGCTTATTACGACCAACGTGCTAGCTCGAGGAATCGATGTACAGACCGTATCAATGGTCATCAACTATGTACGCTGCCGGAGAGCTCTCTATTTTTTCTCCTCCTCAGCCGGATTTACAGCTAACCTTGCCTTAATAATTAAACAGGATATCCCTGAACTCCATGCTCCGAAAGCTACTAAGCGTATTGCTGACGCCCAGACTTATCTTCACCGCATTGGTCGTACTGGCCGCTTCGGCCGCGTCGGCGTGGCGGTGTCCTTCGTTGCCAGTAAGGAAGAATGGCAGATGCTTCAGGATATTAAGACGTATTTCAACACTGAAATCCAGCGTGTGAACACTCAGGATTGGGATGAGGTTGAAGAAGTGGTAAAGACCATTATCCGAAGCTCGAGAGCTGGGTCAAATTTTCAACGCTCTTAAGCCTCAACGTTATTCAACAAAGCAAAAGTGATTTAAAGAGATATGCCGCAACTGTTTGTCGGTTTCCTTTCTCCGTGCTCTTTCGCGTCGACTAGAATCCCCATCCATGACGGTGATCAGTGTCTTAAGTCCAACTCTTGAAAATTACTGCTTGAAACTTGTCATGCGCAAATGTTTTCACGACAGGAAGGAAGAGTCCGTAGCATGAGCGGCTGTTTGCCCTACGCATAAATTCATCCCACTAAATTTCTCTCTCCTTGTTTATTTTTGAGAGTCCTTTTGGTACTTCTCCCCCCTCTCCCAACCCCTTCTCTTGATGGTCTCCTCGTAAATCCCCCAACACAACAGTTCCAATACTATATATGCAATGAACGTCTCATAAGCACTCTTGTTATATACCACTTCCCCAACAAAGCGGGGGTTTTTTTTTTTTTTTGCCTGAATGTTAAGCAGATATTTCATCGGCTGATTCTCAATTCTTTTAAACATCTGCACCATCAAAAACCAAGCAGAAATTTAAAAGGGCAAATGGGAGGAAATAATATATGTCTTATCAAGAATATGACAAATAAATGTTTCCTCACGGGTCGGATCATCATATTCGTATATACCTCCGAGTGCACCTGTCGCTCAATTGATTCTCTGACTGTTATCGAACACCATTGCGTGGCTGGGTAGAAGTTGGTTATATGCCACATAAGCTTGCGCGAAATGTATATATAACGAGATAGCCGTGTAAATGCAGATTTCACTAAGTATTGGTAGATTGCCTTTTGAATGTTGTATTTCGCTTGATGTGGCAATGCTACTTGTGGGTGTAATAGAATTATATAAATATATCATGTATATGTTGTATTAAAGAATTTTAGCAAGAAATCGAATTAAATCACATTATGGGCAAGCGTATATATACTCCATAAATATCAACGTAAAAATAAACAGAAGAAGGGAATATGCATGACGTGGGAAACGGGGAGGGTGCAAAATGGATGTACAGTACATGTACAACCAAAGTAAGTATGTTGTCATCGCAGCAAGATATACCTTCCATTTCCCAACATCAGTAAATAAGAACGGGGCCAGCACAAGAACACATAATCTTAACCATCCCCCCACCCGCCCGACACACTGCGCTTACGGGTATTTTATCCACGCAGGATATAAGAAGGTTGCTTGCATGACTCATGATATAATGGGAAACAAGCATTCCAACCAACACTCATACTCTTTATTCATTTAATCCACAACTTTCTGACCATATATAAAATGCACCTTCGTATAGATATGGATGCTACGATCTTTCAGATCCCTTCGGACGGCCGCTAGCAGGATTTCAACTTCTGATGGCTTCCACCCCAATATGCGAATTAGAGGGGCGGACGAGTATGCGCCGAGCGCCTGGAACATTTGTAGCTGATGGTATCGACCAAGCTCCTTGAGCTTCTCGTTTTTGGGCCAGGGACTGAAAGGTAACTGTGGTTTCGTTAATCACACACACCAAAACAAGGTGCAAAAGCAGGTGAGGTATTAAACCATAAAAATTTCACTTACGATACGATGCTCCGCCTTAACATTCTTGAACCCGACTTTCTTCATCCGATCGGCCCATGTAGACACTTGAGTCATAGGCTTTCCAAATTTTTCCGATGCTTCAATCACCAGCTCTCGCCAACGACGAAACTCCTTCGCTTTCACGATGGTCTCATCGCCGAAAAAGTCCAGCTCGATTGACTGAATTTCCATCCAGCCTTGTGGATTGAGATGTTTGTAAGCCTGCTGGAATAGCTTGTCATAGTCCTTGACCATACCTTCCATCTCACGAGCATGGATGAAGTCGAACGGTTGCGCATACGACCAAGTAGATTCGAAATCGTCTACTTCGAACTTGCAGTTTGGCGGGACCCTAACGTTGTCACCGTCCAGTTAGGGAATTCAAGAACCAATCGGGAGTGGAGAAAACTCAAGAGTATCCTAATGGGAGGGTATATATACCATGATGGTTGGATAGGACTCAAGTCATTCCCTGGATTTCACCCCGAATTAGAAAGCAGAATACGCTTCACACTCCCTGGATCTTGGATACTAACCGACAACTTCTGTGCCTGGGTGATCACTGCGGTTATTCTTCAGTCAGCTAAATACAACAATCGAATTGTCTAAAATAAGCTGTATGCTGGGGCAAACATACTCTGCAAAATCGATTGCCCATATACCTACGTGCATCCTCGCCTCCGTCAGCTATCATTCAAAACATGGAATAGAGGTAACGGAACGAAACGGCGTTTGTTGGATAGGAATTGATGAAAGGGAAAAGAGCACCTGTGCCAGTCCCTAAGTCAAGAACCCGCCGCACACTTTCAGGTACTGGGGCTAGGTAAAGGGCGCCGTCCAAAAGCGTTCGGTATATGTGGTGGTTCAAATCCATGCGGTCTTGTTCTTGCTCATCATTTGGCTACAGAAAGGAGCTTGTCATTAACTAGATGAAAGGTTTACGATATTGGCCGAAAGATCTTCAACTAGAACATATTTACCAGAATATATTCTCCTTCTTTAAACGCATGGTATCTTCTCCCATTCTAAAGCGTCAGGTCGAAGGGTCGTGAGGTTAGTAAACATTCTGTTCAGATGTTTAGAATAATTGGCAAAGGCTGATTACAAAGAACCGGTTTGAACAATGATATAACAATGTCGTTGACATCGGGCAAAGACTTCTGCAAACTCGGAGGTGTTCTGGAGAATTCATGCCTCAAGGTTTTCTAGAGGGCACCAACCTCATATCTAATATATTGGTTTAGTATAGTAGTATGAAGGGTTATTATAATATATAGACCACGTACTTGTAGTTCATAATACTGGACGTAACTGACGCGGTGTAGCTGGCATCGCCAAGTCTTTTAAGAGGTAAAGTTAGCACTCCGTACAACCTCCAACATGATCGTAGTTTCATGACACTCACGAGCCTTCATAGGCAGAGTCAGAATCTGATACAGTTTCCTAAAGAGAGACCGGAAAACAACAAATTTAGTGAGGTTTTATTTATTTATTTACTTTTGGTGATGATTGGGGGAGCATTTACCTCCGCTTCAATCATCCGCGTATCGATAATTGGGTGATTGGCTGCCATAGTGAGTTGAAAAACACCTTGTGGATTAAGGACTAGATATGACCTGTCACAAAGGTAATTATGGCTTTTATAGGTGATTCTTTTGTCGCAGAAAGGGCAATTTGACAAAAAGTCACAAACGAAAAAACTGGGTAGCGGCTTAGGCTGTGGCATTTATACTTCGTTCCAGAATTTGATCCTGGTGCCCTGTTTGTTCAACGGCACTCCGTTTTATTGCTTTTTCCTTTCCTTTCTTTTTTTTTTTTTGCCTGTTTGAGTGGCTTATCGCCCCATGTTCTCGTGGGTGTGAGGATTTAATACGCAGTGATGTCCCATTCGTAATTTGCTGACTTGATGGTCGCGGTTATTCGGGCCTGGTTTCCTCATGCTGGAAATCAGCCTGTTGCAGAAGAATTGGCGCGGCATGCATGATGCAGCCGGCGAAGACAGGCTCAGGGAAGCGAAGGATGGATGGACACCAGGAAGCGGGGTACTTGCGTTTTGTTCCCTTCTGATCGCCTGGAAACTGCTTCCAAAAATCGTCTCTCAGGAGAGTAGTTAGTGTAAGCAAAGATATAAAGCAGTTCCACCCCGCAGAGCACCATATAGATTAGTGACCATCGGAGCTAGAACTATCACGAAATCATTATTAACTACCATTGTGACCTGGTGGTTAGAGTGTCTTAGGAAAAGGCCGCTTGGGCTGAAGCGAGCTGTCACAATCCCGCAGACCGTTGCACCGGGAGCTAGGGGTCTGGGTTTGGCCATGAAGTTGCACTGCGCAGAATGATCAACCTATCGGATCCAATGCTTCCAGACAGATCACGATGTTGCGTCTCTTCCACATTCTACTGTCTGATCTGGGCAGCGTGTTTGTTGGAGCTCAGACGTCCAAAGAAGCGTCGTTCTTCCGCGCCACGCGAGTTCCGGGTAATTTCAAGTTTCAACGTCGAGCCCTAAAACCCCAAATTTAAGCCGCAGCCACCAGACAGCGGCTCAAAAACAAGTCTCCCGATGCCATTGGGCCCAGGAACGCACGAATGGTGTTCATCAACTTCTCACCATCTTCTTTCAACCCACAGCTCGCTCCTCATCCTGTGTCTCAGTCAAGTGTATTGTGTGCTTCCCATTAGTAAACGGCAAAATGTATTCGACCTTTGCTGTTCAGCGACAATGGTTACAGTATCCACAGACGAAAGCTCGAGATTCTGCGATCATATGTGTCCATCCATGTGCATGACAACCGCGGTCTCCGCGCGAAATCAATCCGGCTGCATCCTATATCTGGCTGTTTCGAGAGTTGTGCTCCTTGGTTCTGGCCACAGTGGCCAATAGGAACAGCTCCCTGTTTGTTTTATTGATATCACAATATTCCCCCTCCAAGCACTATTTTATTCAAAATAGTTACATTGATTTCGGTCAAAAGATGGAGCAGGAACGGCTTCCTGGCTACCTCTTCGTCATTTCTAACTTTCTGTCCACAAAATACAAAGGAATCAATCATTCTAATCGTTTATTTTTGCTGTGTTTGGAGAATTCCTTTCTAATGACTGGGCGCGGCCTTGCCATTGCTTCTTTGAATGAAAAGGTTGAACAAAAGAGCCATAAGCAATTGCGTGTTCCAGCAAAAAAGGAACTAAAGAATAAAGCCCATCTTTGTCTGCGATAGTTACCAATTTTGCTTTGGTTTAACTTGAGCTCCTAGCATCCGGCTCCACGAGATGGAGCATCGGTCGAAGCAAAAGAATAGCAGTTCCTCCATGCCGGCTAAGGAGCAAACTTGGGTTTCCAAATGTTCTGGTGATGACAAAAAGGGGGATATCACTGACGTTGAATCCAGGTTTACTCGGAAGACTGACACGAGCAGCAAGGCATCTTTTTTTCCGACGGGTCTGCATCTACAACGAAAGGAAAGAAAGAATCTACAAACCTTATCTTGCGGCAGCAGTCATCATCTAGTTCTCCCATGTTATTGAGGGTGTCGAAGTCCATATACCTTGTGCGAAACCATTGTGGAGATATCGTTCTGGATGCATGAGAGGAAGCTGCTGACGCCACTGAGAGCGTAGAGATGCTACTAACTGACCAGTCCTAACCCACTTCTTGTTCGCTGTCACTTTCATCTAGGAAATTAGCCTCTTTTAGAAGTTCCAACCATCCCGTCCCGCCATTGACGAATCGGCAATCATTCATTTAGTCTAAGTGAAACGGTTACTTTCATTAGCAAGTGCCGCCCGGCAAGAATGGATTTGACGTGTGATTCTATTTTCAGCCACGTGTTCAACGGCACGGATCTGCAGGTGAACAAGTCTGTGTTGAGACTGGCAATATGGATGGAACGGATTTATTTATTAGAGGTTGGCATTAGGGCCGAGATGTGAGGATGAACACCGAGCTGGTTGTTGGGACCGATGGAAGGGAAATAAGGTGGAGCCACGAGCTGGGTGGTGAGATAGTCATGGTGTGAGGAAAATAGAGGGAGGCATTATGTTGGAGCAGTAATCGAGTGTTTTTTATTCCATATAGACAAAGCTATTTTTGCTTTCCAGGCTGAGTGTTATCAGCAATCAATTATACGGTTTGTCGATGCCAATTCGCAAGTTTCAAATCTACCCTTCTCCTCTTTGGGTGGAATCATCTTTGATTTGTTCTCTGTCGTGAATACATGGCCCGCTTATTTAGCTTCGTATTTTCCATCAAGCCTATGTAGAATTCATTCTACAAAAATTTGGATCAAGAGTCAGATTTGCTTGGAAGAGTCAGTCCTGTAGCGACGTTTACACAGTAGCCGCCTTTAAGAACTTGCGTGAATATGAGGCTTTTAAGGATGCATATAACATACATCATTACTTTTAAGTGTGAACGAGTCACTAGCGGACATTTGAGAGTCCAATCTGCTTAGAGTGTATCAAGCGGAATGAGCATTTGACAACCAGAAGAAAGAGAAAATGACATTGATATTCGAAGGCAACAAGAAATAAAACAGAAAATCCGGGGAGGAACAAAAAAATGTATATGTAAAATACAAATCTTTCTCAGGGTTGAAATTCTGTCGAATCAGGAACTACCGAAAAATAAAAATGGACGACGAGGACTCGATGAACCCGATGTGATTTGAACACATAACCTTCTGATCTGGAGTCAGACGCGCTACCGTTGCGCCACAGGTCCTTATTTATTGAAGCTAAGATGAATTTAAATAGCTTTTGAATAAACGGATATTTCTTGGCGACCCACATCACGTGGTAAATGAATGCCCTAAGGAAAATAATTACTCGTAAATCACTCTAATCAGCCTAGTGGAGATTTCAGAAGTCGGGCCAGAAGTTACGAGGATTGTAGTACACATGTTGAACGCCGTTGAATACGTTGACTCTAGCAAAATGATACAAGAGACGTATGGCACGGAGGAGGAGTTAGGATCCATTAGGAACAAGACCAATGTGAGGAGTATAACATCGAATAGGATTCAAGAAGTAAGCCAGAAGAAAATTAAAATTTAAATCTAAAATAAAAATAGCGAAAGAAAATATAGAAAACAGGTAAAGCGGCTGATGGTTAGCTTGGGTGGTGGGAGAGTGAAGCGAAATTGAAAGGTAGTTAGTTACATAAATTGGGCCCCAAAAAAGGGAAAAAGTACAATCCAGCATTATATCCCAAAGGGCTGGTGAGATACCATATGCCCTATAAAAATAATTTCCCAGCTAAACTCCAAAATTAGGCCTTTGAAAGAATGAGTCTCTGATGGAGGGAACTTAGAACACCAAAAATAAAATAAGACAACATAAATCCAAGAACACCAAGCTTCGGAAAAAAAAAAAAGAACAGAGGTAATTGCATATGCTGTGTGTCGAGACCTAGTATATATACAAAAATATAGCTAGATGTAGAATTGGGACTTTGACCACTAGACTAAAAGGAGAATTCCTCCATTAGCAAGGCATTAAGTTCACAATTTCATGCCTTGGAATCTAATACTAGGCTGATGTGGGTCCAGGACAATCGGGGTTGTGCCGGTCTGGGGGACATCATTATATCATCATCAACCTCGTAGTTCTCCGCTCAGGGTATCGTCGACTATTATTCGTATTATTGTACATGCCTTGAGCAGGCACATTGAGACCTGGATGCGGTGGTTTGTGTGGTGGATATCGCATTCCAGGACCTCCTGGTCCATACCTTGGGCCGGGACCGGGCCCAGGCCTTGGACCATATCCGTATCCCCGTGGAGGGTACAGTGGCCGTCTAGCGCTTGGTCCACCTTGTTGAGATGGCATTATCACCGAGGGTAGTTGGGGTGGATACATTGCTGCTGCCGCATGTCGGCCGTCACGCTCGCAGTATGCAAGGCCATTCCATTCGAAATAGTCACCGCGCAGCACCATTTGACACGTTTGACATCTGAAGCAACCTGGGTGGTACTTTTTCTTAGCTCCCGCTGTAGAATGTTCGTTTACCTCTTCAGTTTCGAGGTACTGTCCCTCAATACCCATATTGCAGGAGCCACAAAGTGAGCCATTTAGTTCGTGATAGTGCTGAGAGCAATAAGGGAGGTTATCCAAAACGTAAAAATCAGCTGTTTGAAATGGGGAACGGCATGTGTGGCAGACAAAGCACGCTTTGTGCCACCGACCTGTTAATCGGCCGTCCGCTGATGATATTGATTTTCCAACAATAATTTGCTGGCAACCCCGACACCGGGCCTTCCGCCCTACTGGAGTGCGTGTGGCAGTGCGTGCAGGGGGTGATACTGCACGTTTATCAACCGGAGGTTGCGTGGGAAACACAGGTAAGGGCTGTGACAGGTCAGTCTTCTGCCCCGCTGATGAAAGGTACCCATTCTGGAAAGATGGATCAGTTGGAGAATCCATCCCGTGCACAGCCAGATCTCCTTGTCTCCTGGGCTCAACGTCAATTGAAAGATTATTCCAAGCCATATTATCAGATGCAGACTTTGAGTGCGCCGCACTCGACACTTCAGAGGGTCCAGTAGAGTGGGAACTCCCGCTTGCCATATCTGACGGTGTCGTTCCAATCGACGAGGATATTGATGGATGGGTGCTATGGTTTAGCCCGAGATCTCGCGCAAAATTCGAGACGGAAAAATCCTCATTAATTCGATATTCGCGGATCGGAGATTTTGGATGCTCCTTTTCTGGTACATTGTGCTTTTCGTCCTTGTCTGGAACAGGAGGTTTGAAGCTTCTTGACGAGCTGGTTGTCGCGTTGGAAGGATCTCTGAAGTGGGAACTGTTAGGATTCCGGGAAATCTTCGGTTGTGACGGCAGGCCGAAATCAAAGCTCCCAAGAACGCGGGCCTTTTGTTGCTCTTTAGGGAGTCTCTCTCCCGCAAGGCGATCTGATTCGAAGTCCTCATTACTTTCAAAACGATACGAGGAAGGAATCGCGTCGTATGGTCCTGGTGTGAAGCTCTTGATGGGGCCAGCAGGCAAGGGTGGTACTTCGTCCAACACATTGCGCCCAGATGTGGATAACTTCCTTGGCGAATAATGGTTAAGGTTCTCATCCCCATACCGCGAGCTAGCTGCGGATATCAGAAGCATGCTCTTGCTATCTATCGACATCTCCCTTCTGTGCTTCTGCTTCGATTTTGGTCGTCTCCGTTCTTCGTAGGGTACCGGTTCTTGCGGAATCGAAGAGCGGCTATTATCGCTATCGCTCCCAGCGTCGCCTCCACTCCGGACTGGACTTGTTTCGAATGACTTCGTTGTGAAAGGGCTATATGTGTCTTCTACCGGGGTCCTAGGTTTTGATCTCACGGTAGAACCTGCCACGGTATGTGATCTTACAAAAGGTGTGAATGAACCATCTTCATTAACTGGGTCTGGTGTCGGTGGCAGTGGACTTGTTTGACTTCGTTTAAGAGGAGACGGTGAGAGAGATGGACTGTCATCAGTGTCGGCAGGGGTGAGAACACCAAGGTGTAGAAAAGGACGATCTGATGAAAGGTGAGCATTCACGTAAAGTGATTATTGGATAATTTATTGCATGGCAAAACACATACTGGCTGCAAACGGATCAATTTTTGGTGGCGGTGGCCCATATCTTCCCGACTTGCCAGGTGGATTTGGAGGACTGTCGAACGGGTTGCGATAGTTATAGTGGTCTGGAGGAGGAGTAACTATACAATCGTTTAGCACCGAATTTGCAGGGCTGTTCTGAGGGGCGTTTTTCTGAGCAAAGGTTGTCAAACTACTTACATCGCTGCGAAGACCCGTTGCAGATATGTTCTCCCATTTCAGAGATTCCCACACTCGCATTGCAATTGGAACATTTGATCACGGGCAATAGCCCGCCTGTAGGCAGGTCCGCCTCCATTTTAAAGGATATCTGGATAACTCATATGCAGCAGGAGACTGAGGAATCCCGGTTACACCTTTCCTGGTTCACGCTTTGATCTCCTTTGCTTTTTGCTCCCTTTGTTATACGGGTCGGTAAGAATAGTGATGTTGTTCCTGGGCAAAATTGACAGCCAATTCCTGTGTCCAGGATATGTTTGCGGGGATTTAATTAGTAGGAGGTATTCCAGACAACAATTGCCGGAGAATCCAAAGTGCGAGTTAAGGGGATCTGATTTCGGGGTGTGTTTAGGATGAGGAGATCGGTGATAGATGCGATAATAGCAGAGTATATAGTTTAACAGAAACAACAATGACAATAGGTAAAGATGTGTATTATATATTAAAACGAGGATATTGAATTGAGTCAGTGATTAGTCTCTGTATGAGCAAAATGGATGTAGTTCAACGAAGATAGAGCAGGAGAGGATGATTGAGATTGAGATTGAGATTGAGAATGAGGAATGAGGGAAGAATGACCGCAGATGTGTGACGGTTGTCACTGACTCCCTGCGTATCGAGAATACCACAATACCATCTCCCATTTGCGATTCCCCAGTTAAGGACCTCCGCAAGGCTTCAGGCTGGAGCATCCTCCAGCCAGATCCCCCGGCTAGGTCTTACCTCCACAACGGTAATTTTGCATGTTGTTTGTTCTCGCAACTGTCTCTTGCTCCTGAAACGGCAACAAACCCCTTGTGGTGCCTGACCCACTCGGCGACCATCGACTTCCACTAGGACATATCGGTGATAGTTCCAGTTCCAGCTTGCGTTTAGTTACCTTTCAAAGGGAACGGTTCCACCAGGGGCAACTGTCATGCATAAATAGGGAAATGTTTGGCTGCGAGAAATATTGGTGGGAGGAGTCCGCCAGAGCGCAGTTTCCGCCGTGTGCCCCCACCAGAACCACCTCTCCCCCGTCTCAAGGGCAGATAGTTCTTGCACGGTATCTCTCTGGGTCTGCCTGCGTTGGAGCGAGAGTTACATCGGTTCTCCCCTACGGCAGTCCCTTGGAAGCCCCCTGCCCGAAAGCGCCCATGGATCGTCGATATCAGCATCATCCCTGGCCTGAATATGTGAGCCCTTGAGCCCCGCTGCCATAGCTCCCAAGAAAAGCCTACTACGTATCATTCTTACTCAAATTTAAATACTAACCCCTTTTTTTCTTTCCCTTTGTCTACATGTTTCCTTTCAGATGTCCATCAGCCCCAAAACCAGACACCAAATCACGGCCAGACCACCATTATTCAACATTTGATACGCACGATGACCCAAATCGCCAAAATGAAACAAGCAGCTATCTCAGCCAATCAAGTCGTTGCTATCGGCAAAAACTAGCTTCCCAAGCCCACTCATGCTTTCTTTTTTTCAGTTTGCTTGCGTGCCCTCCTCCCCCATTTTTTTTCGCGAAGTTCCTCCTCCACGAATTAGCTCATCCACTAACCAGGTAAGTTCAGACCAGTCCCCGCCAGACTTGTGCTAAAACCCGACTACTCCAAAAGCAAGGCTTTCATAGGGGCAAAGAGCCAAAAAAGAGAGATAGCATCTTGCAGATCGCAAGCGATCAGTCCCTAGGATAAAGTTCGCTTCGTTGGCTTTTGCGCATCCATCGTCCTTCATGTGAACGGTGGTGGTTCATCACTGGCTAACTCTAATCAGGACGGCTGAGCACGAGCTCGTGACGATGGTGATAGTGCACGCTATGGTGGTCACAGCTTTTGGTGATAGTCAGGAAAGACGAGACAGGAGCACTATACATTTCCATTTCCTTGATATTGGAACTACGAGCAGGAATAAATAAATAGTAGATAATAAAGTAGATAATAAATATACATGCCATGCACGGCTTGAAACTTGCTTTTATGCATGTTACCGGATTGCCAAATCTTTGGAGCGCAACGCGCGGAAGCTCTCCACTCCTGCCAAGATCGGAGGTTTAAAGGGGGTATATTTACGAAAAAGGAAAGGAAGAAAAAGAAAAGAAAAAACGGGCAAAACATGTAAAAAAGAAAAGAAAAGAAAAGAAAAGAAAAAGAAAGAGAAAACACCACGTTCCTTGGGATGGCGATGACGGTTCAAACGGTTCCTCTTACGCGAGCTCCTAAAGCCAGAGCAAACCTGTGCTGGAGGTGGTGCCTTGGTACTGTAGACGTGAGAGGTGAAACTTGGATATGTTCGAAATGTGTTTTCACTTTTTCACGGGTATCCTGACTTTTCGAAGTCAGGGGAGAACTCTAATACGTTTTCTACGTTCATACCTGCCAAGTTCATGAGATAGATCCTTTTTCTTCATTAAATTTCCCTGCTTTTCTTGGATCATCAGGATACGGTGCATAATATATGACATCAAGAATAGCAACATCAGGACTACTATTATGATATTGCCCATTCAGACGTGCTTGTTCCATCTGATGCAAACCTGAAGCACGACATGCCTGAGCCACATGTTGAAGGTCCAGTTCCATGATCCATCTCAGATTTCAAGATCCCACCCAAATGTCCGTGACAACCAAGCTATGTTAGAGTTAGCGCAACACCATCCCTCGATCCAAACTCAATTTGCGGTGACAAGATCTGAGCCTTTCTCCCGCACCTTCTCCCTTTCCCGAACCTCGTCCAAGTCGATGAATGCCACGGGACATAAAATACCACCGCGTAATGGAGTGGGAGTACGGCCTCGCCGATCATTTACTTACTTTAATCATTCTCAACGCCCCCTTTGCTTCCCGCTTTTTACCGCATAATGCAAAAGTATCCATCCCTGTTTCCCGTCCTGAGTAGGAAGAACCCCCATTGATTCATCCGCAGTTACCTGACAGAGGATGTATCAGCATCGTTTGCCCCGCACTGAGACTTTCTAGACAGGAGTAACAGGGATATAAGCGATACCATCACTGTGACGTGAACTTTGTTGAAGAATGGTGGTCCAGGGGAAATCTTAATCTTGTTCCTGAGCTAACTAGAGGAAAGAGCTCTGTGGTTGGCCGAGAGGGAAAAAATATACGAAATCATTATCGGCTCACCTGACCATTTATTTTGGTAGTGACAGCCAAGAGCAGACATGTATTATATAATTGGCCATCCAATTGCCATTGTTTCTGGGATCTTTTGAGATGGTAGGAGTAGAGAGCGCTTATGCTTGGTGCCCCTGCTCTCAGAGTATGGACTCCGTATACAGCATTGGATATGAAGGATCAAAAATAAGCACTCGTTGAATAAACGGTAGTTTGATTGTAACTAGCTTGATGAAGCGTAAGGACCAAGATACAGGCTAGGCAAACCCTTTCCTTCACTGCAATCAATGAGATATTCTACATATAGAAACCGCTAATCTCACCATCTGGGGCATCTAGAATTAGCAAGAAATTTCATTGCTGGCTGGCCGATATATTCAACCCTGCGCTTTCTCCCATAAAGCCCGACCCGCATTTTACAAATCACATAGGTCAGCTGCCCTGCTGTTATAAGCGAAGAATAAGCAATCTCTACTGCGTAGAAATATATGATTTCGGCCCTTCGATGTTCTCAAAAGCAGGGGGGGGGATGATGTTATTATCCATGGATGTTTGGCACCCAGTGCTGATGTTGGCGGAAATTTCCTTGACGAATGACCATGTTTCTTCTTGACATTTTCTTCGACAACTTCACAAACACGCTCCGGGTTTGAAATTTGACTGGTGCATTTGACTGCTTTTTGTGTCAAACTAACCTTGAATGGTATTTATAAAATCAATGTTTAACCGTCTGTCATACAAAGGTTATTATTCTTTTTGACTCTACAGCCTTACGGGCATAGGGTGTGCCCCCTCACCGTTCTTTTTTAATTTGCCATGCCAAGAATAAACGCCTTGGATCTGATAGAAAAAAGCCTGGTCGCCAGGGGTCATGTAAGAGAGGCCTGAGTTTGATGAGTGGCTATCCCCAGCTGGATGCAAATGCACAATGGGCATGACATGACATGCCCCACCTCTGCTGAGTCCGTTGGTTGTGGCCCTACTTATCTCAGATGATCTTTTCTTCAGTGCATCCCTGCCGATAATTTATGCCAGTTGATACAGACAAGCCCAAAGTTATCAATGAAGATGAGACCGAATGCCACTTCACCCACCAACCCGTGGATCCCACATCCCCTCTACGTCTATAGGACGGGAAGGAAATACACGTCACGGAAAGGGCCTTTGAGAGTAGCAGAGAATAACAGGAAACTCTTCCGTTGGTTTCTGTGAGGCGGGACTGCTGTGAGCAAAATGTCAGCTCCAAATTATGGACATGTTGAACACAGTATCCCCCAATGGGCAGTTCAGGGACAAACATAGAAATACTCGGTATAAACTAGCACTGATGCAATAAAAACTGAAACACGCTGCATTCACCTCAGTTGGGTCGCCAGCCCCCAGGATCCAGACCCGGCGCTCATTTGCATCTATCTCACCGCCCTGACGTCCGAAAAGTGCGAGGGACTGATAATCACTTTCCATATCTTATATCGAAGGAGGGAAATCTCTTCGGCAGCGTGCCGACCAACGTACAGCCCGTAGTGCTATCTGGGGTTGCGATATAGCAGAAGTCTTGTTAAGAAGCGATCAGGGTACGAAAATTGACGAATAAATGTGGCCACCACATTCTGTTGTCATATCATTTGGATCTCCACCGGCCGTGCAAATAGCAAGTCTTCGCAAAGAATGGACCGGTGACTTTTCTCTTATCAACTTGGTTTCCAATTGTTCCTCGCCCATTGCCAGAGGCGGGGATGTCGTCGTCTTGAAACAGATATATCAGCTTTTGACAGTGACACAGTGTGAGACGGGTCCCTTTCAACTTCAGAATTGACACCAGCAATTGCAAACGTGTCTTGGCCTTGACAACGAAGGACAACCAGTCATGCTTGCATTATCAGGCCATTCTTAGTGAAGGAAGAATTTGGAGTGTTGCCTCTTTATAAATGCAATCTCACCATTGCTATGGCAAATATAGTTTGGCAGCGGAACGAGCTTAATGACGCTTCTCTTTCACGTCCACAAGTTGGAATAATTTAAGAGCTGCCTCTGTATTGGCAGGTATGAATATGTTGATGATATTCATTTTATTTGGAGAAGTTCATATGCTGTTGGTTGGCCCTCGTGAGATAGCAAGTCCTAAACATCTGGCAGCTTTGAACAGTGGAAAAACTTGAGTCTCCGCATCGACATAAATTGAACTGTATTCACCAATTCCACTTCACTAGTGGGTAGTTGTGGGTGGTCAATCCCGTGGCCATCTTTGTCGTCTGGGTCTCTCCTCGATTGCCTTCAGCAAAACGAAACTCTCATCCATCCACATCACTTTAGCCTTGCTTCTGGCCACCAGGATGGGCGGTCCATTTCAATTTTAGAGGCTTTTCATAGAGTTGTTTTTGGATTTGGTAGGCGATCGGCCAGGTCGTACATATCATGTTAGTCCTGGGTGAAGAAGCCGCCAGTGAGAGCTACTGAGCACTTCCAATCATATAAATAATGGGATATTCCCCCTGGGCATCAAAATTGAACCCCACGATACATCCTGAGAAATACCAGCAAGGAAAAATATTACGAGCATGTCCTCGTGCTTTTCCACAACAGAAACGGATGAGTGGGTTGTTACTCTGAAGTTGAGGGTTGGATGTCGTCCCTCTCCATTAGCACAATCGACCGAGGAGGATCCTCCCCAAACTCGCAGCTGAGGTATTATCAACGCGGCTATGAGGTTTACAATGCCGATCTCTCGCACAAACGGAATTTCAGTTTGGCTCTATCCTAATTCCGATCCCCGATGCTCGAACTTTCCTCCCGTCCTACCTTGCAATATGTGCGATTCCAGCAACCTTGCCCACATATCTCCTCCAAAAAGGGGGTGTTAAAACTTAGACCCGATTCCGCAGCGTGTATTTCTCATTCTGGAGCCACAGCCAGCAAGGATTGAATATGGAAGGCATCATTCATTTTTCTTGTTTCCGATTGAGCCCGTCTCTGGTACAATTGCCGGGCCGGAAATATATGCAATATCCCGAGATTTTTCTGTCTTCCTACGGGCCGGTAATGACTGTGCCAGAAACCAGTGGGTTCTCCCCGGCTGATGTCTTTGCCGATACCCGTCGAGCTCAGGGACGTAAAGCCTCCCCTCGCGCCGATAGTCCTCAGAAAGAAAAGGACTTTCGACATGGGGTTCCAAGATGGTTTTTGATAATATTTTTTACCCTGCTTTTGAGAAAACTAAGGCGACGTTTTTGGGAAATGGTATCCGTGTTAACATACACGACTGCTTTCACGATGATACATTTGAATCATTTTCACTTCGTATGCTATGAAAGAAGTAAAAATATCAGAATAGACTTAGGCAATGTTGAAGGGAACAGCATCAGGTACGAAAAGTTTTAGAGGAGCTTTTTCAAATCTCACTTTTACATAAGTATCTATCTTAACTATAATTCTTACACTGGAAATAAATCTTGCTTCTCTCTTCTGTTCTCTATTTAATCTTCTTCATACTTCATTCCCTTCTTGTGATATACGAGTACTGTGCACCTGCAAACCGATAGTCAATGCTCCAACCCCAAGGTAGTGTAAAACAGTACGTGACGGACAATTGTCAGCCATGGACGGAGACCATCGGACCAAGGAGTGTTGAATGAACGAGGTGCGCAAGGCGAGCGGCTTCCTCTCTGTCTCTGTCCTTCATTCCAGTTACCGTTTTGCCCGGGCCAATTTCTTTTCTAGCTCTGCAGAAAATAGATGATGGCGAGGATCTGTACCCGGTTAGGGTGGGGGGTGGGGAGTGAGGCGGGCGTTGCATGAGCGGAGAAGAACATCAGGCATTCACGCAGCTATAAGCTAATTACGTTCTTGTTCATGTAACTATGTACACATGATCTTGGTAAGCTGAATCGACAGTCCATTTCGTAGTGTCATTTTGTTTTTCCTTATGGTTTCCTTGAGAATACTCGTATGTATACGACACGCCCATTGAAAATAGAGAACCTCTTTTCTATTTATGCTGGTTACTGGTCTCAGACTATCTACACAAAAACCCACGCCCGCTTTGAAGAGTTATAAATTTCCACGCTTCTCTCTTGCTAATATTTCCCCATCCAAAGTCGGTATCGGCTGTGAGAACAGAAACTAGGTTTTCGATGGGGCGGGGTCAGCATGGGTGTTTAGTTCCTCCTCATTGAAATATTAGGCAATAGTATTTCGAAGAATGGGGTCTTGACATCAAGAGAAAGTCTATAACAGCCCCGGCCCCTTCGAGAGCCAAAATAAAAACATGAAAAGGTCGCACAAAATAATGAGATAGATAGGAAAGAAACAAGACACACAAACTCAAGATGAAGGCGGATCTTCTCACTTCCCGCATTTCATACTCTCTTCCGAACGGGGCGGGAAAGATAAGCACGGAAAGGCAAGGCTCCGATAGAGGTTACAGAAGCACACAATTACATCTCCATGTGTATGTAACTCTGCTTTCCCTGGCGTCATTGATCTCCACAACGGGAAGAATATTGGGTACGGGATGAGACTAAAGGCTATTGTATGCTGCAGAACGAAAAGGCTACTGACCGCTACTTCTCTTCGCCGATTCTTAATGGCCCCTCTGTATCCATTTTATGCTCCTCACGATGATCGATTGCCTTCCTTCATACTACTACTACTACTACTACTACTACTACTACTACTACTTGGCGTAGAGTTTACTTTGGACGCAATTCATCTTTATCTGCTGACCACGTCAACAGGACTGCAGCAGAAGAGGGAGGAATGAAAGGGACAAAAGCTATACATTATTTTTATGGAGAAAAGACTTGGAAGCCTTGCTGCCCATTTCTGTGTTTTGCTATTATTTTATTTAACTCGTCCACTATTCTAACTTTCGTAGCAATGCTGTAGGTTCGGTTATAAGGGGCAGTTTCTTCCACCACACGCATCGGCTATGCAGTACCACATGCAGGCACGCATGCTCCCCGAGTGTGTTGTCTCATGTTTGGTGGATTCTGTGTGTACCGTACAAGTAAGCACAGGCGGGATGAATAGAAACGGTTACTTCGGGATTGCGCCGAAGAATATTACACTGAACAATCAAGTTGCGCCTCAACAAACCCCCCCCCCCAAAAATGCTTGTTTCAGTTTCAGTTTGCAATTCCTTGTCGAGATGGAATCTAAACTAATGAGGAGCGCAGTCTCTGTAGCAACAAAAATGTGTAAGAGGAGTAGATATAATTTTACAATGGAAAATACCATCAGGCATCCCCGAGGATGGAGCTTTGTGTAGAAACCTCTAAGGAGTTTTGTGGTACTGACGGTTTATCATGGGATACAAATGCCGTTCGTTGTACAGTACATCGATAGCAGTAGCAGCAACATGTCACATTCCAGAAGCAAGAGAGCGGGTTCGGAATCGACAGTAGGCAATGAGTGAGGTGTTTGGTTGGACAGGAGAACTGATCTGAGGTTTCGCCGACACGCTCGGAGGTTATCTTATCGATAACCATTTACGGCGGGGTATTCAGTGTTGCTGCTGGCCATCCGTCGTATGAAGTGGAACAACGCACATTGTGTGTCGCCTGTGGGGGCTGCAGCAAACCTGCAGTAGCGAGTCCAGTTGGCGAGATGGCTGCAGGAGAAGCGCATGTCGACCTGCATATCCCAAGCCTGTTCTGGCAGGTTTGATCGTGATGACGGGCGCCTTCGATCAAATTCCATCCGAGTTTCAAGAACTGCGTTTGTTATCTGCGAATTGAGCTCCATTTTTATTAAGCTAAACACCTCATTAATTGCTCTTACCAGTCCGACCCATGGGAAGCAGAAGTACCCCCTGTGCACCGTTCCTTAGCAAACGTACCAAGGTTCCACATCGATGCATCCGTCTGCCTGCTGACTACAAATACTTCCTCCCCACCCCCCACTCTGCCACAACTCCTTCTTTCTCTTCTTCTTCTCTTCCTCAATTCCAACACCAACCTCAACAATCCATCCCACCAGCAATCCGTTTACCACTCTGACTTTTTGCTTCTCGATCACTCTCTAGGAAGTGGTCCATCAATACCGCCAAAACGTTTTCCAATCTTCTTCCATCGTAAGTCCATCTCACGAACGCGTCTCAGTCGCGGTTCATCGTGTATCTGCCATTGAGCCTTGTCAACCCTTGAAATGGATATAAACCTCCGTTTCCTCTTGCTTTACTTTCTTCGCGATTGTAATATCTCCTGCGTAATATTGCAATGGCTAATTTCCTCTCTGCAGGTCGCACCACCCGTTCAACGGAAGCCGACGCTCATCCGCTCGTGGAGGAGCATCGGATTTGCCTCTCGTTCGATAAATCAAGAAAGCGCTTGACTGTCCTTTGAAGCTCGAGGTTTCTACTTCTGCTTCTATTTCCACTTTCAATTTCTTCCCGATCAATCAATCGCTTCTCAATCCCGTGCCAAATTTTCGTTCTTGAAAAGTCAACATGGCCCCTCACGCTGAAGAGAAAGCTAAAGACTCCTTGAACGGGTCGGTGTCCACTTCTACCCCTTCGCTTTTCACTGTAGACTCGCCCAATGTCGTCTACACTGACGAGGAAATCAAAACTAGGTATGTATACCATACCACTGCCGTCACTCGTACCGCAGATGGTAAGTATGTTGCCGCTCCCAAGGAATCTGCCTACGATTTCAAGGTCGGCCGTAAGGTTGGCAAGGTGGGCATGATGCTTGTCGGATGGGGTGGGAACAACGGTACTACCGTCACCGCCGGTATCCTTGCCAACCGCCGTGGCCTCGTCTGGGACACTCGCGAGGGCAAACGTGCTGCCAACTACTATGGCTCTGTCGTCATGGGTTCCACCGTCAAGCTGGGTACCGACCCGGAAACCGCTGAAGAGGTCAATGTTCCCTTCCACGACATGTTGCCCATGGTCCATCCCAATGATTTAGTCATTGGAGGCTGGGATATCAGCGGTATGAACCTTGCCGATGCCATGGACCGTGCTCAAGTTCTAGAGCCGTCCCTGAAAGAGATGGTCCGCAAGGAGATGGCGGAAATGAGGCCTCTCCCAAGTATTTACTACCCGGACTTCATTGCCGCCAACCAGGAGGATCGTGCCGATAACATTGTTGAGGGTTCCAATGCCTCATGGGCTCATGTTGAGAAGATTCAGAAGGATATCCGGTAAGCCCGAAATCGCCACGGATATTGGTTGAGATATATGTTTCTGACCCTACAATTTTTGTAGTGAATTCAAGGCTTCCAATGGGTTGGATAAGGTCATCGTCATGTGGACCGCCAATACTGAGCGTTATGCCGACGTACTCGCAGGAGTGAATGACACTGCAGACAATCTTCTCAATGCTATCAAGAATGGCCACGAGGAAGTTTCCCCATCGACTGTGTTTGCGATTGCATCTATCTTGGAAAATGCGCCCTTCATCAACGGCTCCCCACAGAACACCTTTGTTCCAGGGGTCATTAAACTTGCGGAGCAGCGCGGTGCCTTCATTGGTGGAGATGACTTCAAATCTGGTCAGACCAAGATGAAATCCGCACTCGTTGATTTCTTGATCAACGCTGGCATCAAACTCACTTCGATTGCTTCTTACAACCATTTGGGTAACAACGACGGGAAAAATCTAAGCTCCCACAAGCAGTTTCGCTCCAAGGAGATCTCCAAGTCCAACGTCGTTGACGACATGGTTGCTGCCAACACTGTTCTGTACAAGAAGGACGAGCACCCCAACCACACCGTCGTGATCAAGTACATGCCAGCTGTCGGAGACAACAAGCGTGCCCTCGACGAATACTACGCTGAGATCTTCATGGGTGGCCACCAGACCATCAGCATGTTCAACGTTTGCGAAGACTCTCTACTTGCTTCCCCGCTGATCATTGATCTGGTCCTCATTGCCGAGCTTATGACTCGTGTTAGCTGGAAGCCTGCTTCTGGCGATAAGTACAAGGGCTTCCACAGCGTCCTCAGCGTCCTCAGCTATATGCTTAAGGTATTTTTTATCTAGGCCCTTGTTGCTGGTCATGGATGAAGTGAACTAATCAAAACTGTCTCAGGCCCCTTTGACTCCGCCAGGAACTCCCGTCGTCAACTCTTTGGGCAAACAGCGCGCCGCTGTTACCAACATTTTCCGCGCCTGCCTTGGTTTGCAGCCAGAGTCTGACATGACTCTTGAACACAAGCTCCTCTAGGCTCGCTCCAGCATCCCTCCGCATTAATTAATCACTGGTTTCCAGTCCTCCGGATCAACAAAAGTCCCATTTCTTTGAGATAGTAATGGTGGATTGAATTGCTGGGAACGAATCAATAGCAATTAATTTCACGGGGTTGATTGGAACTTTATTTTCAATGATGTACTGAGGGTAGCGGCGTGCTTTTGCTTCTGTGGTTTCCTTTCCTTTCTCCGACCAAATTGCAAAACATCTCGGTTTCTACTTTGCTTTTTTTTTTTTTAAAAAAAAAAAATAGTCTCTTGCTGGGCCAACACACACTCCTTTGATTTACGCTGTAGCTAGCCTAGTGATAACTGATACCTACATAGGTATGTATGTATCGATCTAATAACTAGTGCAATGATTAAGTACAGTACATGCCTGCCGACATATCCCTGCGCTTTCTTTTAAGCTGCTCCCCAGATGATCCTGTGCGTAGCTTATATATCATTGTTATCGGTGAATAAAGGATGGTCCAAGATAGCTACGACCACTTTGCAAAACTCCGCATGATAAGTGACATGCATGGCATGGCCTTCCCAACATGCAAAATAGAAGAAAGTTGGAATAAATTAGATTTGAACAAACACAAACCCAGGCAGCAGAAGAAAGAGAAGCCCCGGAAAATTGAATTGCGGTGTTTGATGATTCATGAACCAGGGGTCAAAATGGTAGTTATGGAAATGCGTTTCGGTTTTATTGTATGTTTATCGATCCGTGGAAAACAGAATTACAGGTTAAAATAAAATAAAAGGCGATGCATTTGCCACCCCCCTGACCACCTAAAAAGGAGTTTCATTCATCAATGGAAATTGGATCACGTATCAGGGCGTGTGGTGGATGGGTAGGCAAAAAATTTATTGAACAAAAATAGAAAATAAGAGAGAGATTCACATTCACCTCTCTTGTTTACAAAACACCCGAATTAGCGAGAAATAATAATAATAGTATCAAGTTGATCATCAACAGAGAATAAATAAGAAAGTGACTTCTGCACTCCGTTCTTATAAAAAAAAAAAAGGCAAGACAAACTCTGTGACGCCACATCACCACATCACTAGAAGTAATAACGGCCGCAGCCACAGCTACGTACTGGCTCAATTTCGCAAAACTAACACCAGCAGTACCTGTTGATTCGAGTATCGCTGCGACTGTCTTCTGAGGGAGAAAGAAGTGTAAGCCGGAGCCGTACAGTTCGCAAGCGACGATTCCACGGGCATTGGCCAGGACACCACAGCCCCGGGAAATGGTTCCCAAGAAAACGGGAGAGTAATTCCACCGTGAAGTTCCCGCCCCCGTGAGGAGCCTGGAGAATCGTTTTCAGCGCATGTTTCAGTTGTACAAATTTCAATAAATGAAGACGAATAGCTTGGTGGTGGGGGGGGGAATCGAATTACTGATAGCAAAGGTGCTGGTTGATATATGGATAGACACTCCCCCCCCTTTTTTTTTATTTGGTTGCGAGGGACCCTGAGGCCCGGCGCAATTTATGGAGGACACAAGTCCTTGCACACACTGGAAATTTAAATGAAACTCTCAATTGCCAGAGCTCAAATGAATCCGATCCTCACAGCATTAAGTTAAGGGCCTTTGATGCCTGACTTGATGGCCCGGTTTTAGGCCCCAACTGTTTGGGAGCTTGTTGACTGGTTTGCACCATTTTAGTTACCATATAAATTTCCAATCTGTGAAGGGAACTTAGGTTCCCAACTGGTAGCTAGCCCTTGAACTACAACATCCATCCAGAGATTTATTATCGTTATTAAAAAATGTTATATCGTTGTCCGAACTAGCTGTTTCCCACTCCAAATATTGGGCTATCATCCCAAACAAGAAAACCAACTTAGATCATACGTTATAGTTTCCCTTCCCTTAGCAGTTGGAACTTTTGATTTGCAATCTTGCAGGCTCAATCTCTACGCTCCTGTTCCCTTTTTCGATAAAGAACTCCATCCTTAAAAATAAATGCCAAGACAGATACAGACACAAAGCCAGTCTATCCTTCGGGCAGGAGCAAAAAATGGCTTACTGCTTCATGTTGATCACGCAGCGAATGCAGTCACCTTGCTTCATTTGCTCAAACGCTGAGTTTATGGCCGGCAATGATTCGCGGTGGGTGATGAATTCGTCCACTTTCAGCTTACCGATCATGTAGTCGTTGACTAATGCTGGTAGCTGGCTGCGGCCTTTGATGCCGCCAAAAGCACAGCCTTTCCATACGCGGCCAGTAACAAGTTGGAATGCTGGAGATAATACCCAAAGTTAGCGATACTTTACTTATTCGCTTTTGCAACGGGTCATGTTTTATATTATAGAGGGAGATAAGACGGAGTACTTACGTCTCGTGGATATTTCTTCGCCGGCTGCTGCAACACCAATGATAATACTTTGACCCCAGCCCTTGTGGCAGGCTTCAAGAGCAGCACGCATCACACTGACATTGCCCGTACAATCAAAGGTATAATCGCATCCACCATCCGTCATCTCAATGAGTTTGTCTTGTATAAGTTTCCCATCAAGTTTCGTAGGGTTGATGAAGTCCGTGGCACCGAATTTCCGCGCCCACGATTCCTTCTTATCATTGACATCGACCACAATGATCTTGCCGGCTTTTTGCATCACTGCACCCTGGATCACAGACAGGCCAACACATCCGGCTCCGAATACAGCTACAGTCGAGCCTTCCTCTACACGAGCAGTCACTACTGCAGCACCATAACCTGTTGTGATACCACACCCCAGCAGACATGTCCGATCCATGGGAGCTCTATCTGTGATGGCGACAACAGAAATATCGGCCACAACGGTGTATTGCGAGAAAGTGGAAGTGCCCATGAAATGCAAAAGCTCCTTGCCACGGCAGGAGAATCGGGATGTTCCATCGGGCATGACCCCCTTTCCTTGGGTGGCTCTGATCTTACCGCACAAGTTCGTCTTGCCGGACTTGCAAAATTTACATTCTTTGCACTCAGGAGTACTGTTGGTAGCCAGTTAGATGCCGAAGTCATTCCAAATTGTCAAGCAATGAGGGGCGGAAATGGGGTTATATCATACTAGAGAGCAACTACGTGGTCACCAGGCTTGACGGAAGTCACCCCTTCACCGACAGACTCGACGATACCAGCGCCTTCATGGCCCAAGACGATGGGGAATGCCCCCTCTGGATCCTTTCCAGAAAGCGTATATGCATCTATAAAAATGTAACGGTGAGTTGGAGTTGCACAGTAATGATGGTCCATTCTCCTCGCTACGCCTAAATCTCTACCCAAACAAAGGGGAAAAAGAAAACCCATCAACCCACCTGTGTGACAAACACCTGTGTAGTATATTTCAATCCGAACTTCGTGGGCCCTTGGGGGAGCAACCTCAATATCCTCGATAGTGAGACCCTTGCCGGCCTCCCACGCGACTGCAGCCTGTTTCTCCGCTCAGTTTGAGATCGGCATCATTTCCCACCCACGTAAAGAGCCAGTAGTTTCGCCTTAGAAAAGATCATCACCTTTCTTCGACTACCTCGAGGGTGATCGAAATTAAACGGGACGTGAGCGCTATCTTACTTTGCAGGTAATGGTCTGTTGATTCTCGCCCCAGGGGGGCTTAGACAGGTTAACCTCCGATATCCCAGGCAGAAAGTGCACAAAACAATTGAGTAGAAGGGGAGGATCTGAAATAACCTTAACTGACCTTTCCAACAGTGCTCGTCATTGTGAATCCGTATTACTTTGCCGTGGATGATCGAGAAGTCGTCCGGTTTGGGGTCGTTGTGTATCAAGACCCTATCCCGAACGTTAAGCTGCGAGGAGAGACGGGCAGGGTAGAATGAAAAGAATACAATAATTACACTCTTAGTGGCCGAATAGCTGGGATGAGGAGAAGAACGTATACAAGGAATCGTGCCGGATAATGAACAGAGAACGTGGGAGTTTTATTTTGCTGGGCGAACACCATGGCGGAGTGAGGAGAAGTGACGAGGAGTAGCTCCAAGTGAAGGTGGGGTGAGGGGTTGTGCTGGGCGGTATATTCGGGTACCCGACCGCAACCGTCAACCTTATTTCGTAGGTCTGATACTGGAAAATACCGAGAAATACCTCGACCACCCACAGTTTGGTGGGCTTTTAATAGAGAATTGTTGGCTGTTGAAGGTTTTCTCTCATCATGGCTAGATTGCTATGGTATTTCCTATTGCCATTGTTAGGGGCGTGGTTAGAACTTGACAATTTATAGATAAAGTTCAGCTCCTTTCTTCTATCTCCTAAGATCTTGCAATCTTTTGACATTGCAATTGTATTTTCTTATATAGGTGTAAACATACGCTACCCAATATCATCCAGAAGAAGAATATACTCTGCTTATGAGTGCTGCTAATAAGTAGATATATTGAAATATTGAACATGCTGCCTAGTTGAATGTGATTTGAATTTATAACATGATGAGAGCGAGTTTTCTAACCAAGTTCAGCCAGATGCCCAAGAGCTAGAGAATTGCCTAGTTTCAAATATGAGTCGATTTAGCTCTAACAATCCAAACCTGTCCTGAGGTTATCCCTTTCTTGCCGGAGCTCACCAGCCCCTGGATAAGGGTATATATAGATACCCTTACAATTGATTGGATTGGTCTCCTCTATTCAAGATCAAAATAATAAGCGATCCTGGATACATACAAAAACACATAAATCGAGATAGTTGATGGAGGTGGAAGGTTGGTTGTTTGCTTGTAACTACTTTGCATTGGAGTGCGGGTCAAGCGATGTTGGGTGCCAACAATCGTATCGAATCGAGGGATCCTGCAACGCCAAGTCGCAAAATATTTTTAGTACGCACCGCATTCCTATTGAGGCTTACATAGTACATAGTAAACATGTGGCATGCTGCAAAGAAAATAGGGCTTCTCTGTAATTTTGACTTTTGTATTGTTTGTGTATTACACATAAATTATATATCTAATCAGATTCAGATTATGTAGGATGAAGGTATATAACTAAATAGTCTAATTGAATAAGGAAGGCGGTTACTGCGAACGGTGTTTGCAGGATCCCTCAATAGTATCATTGATACAGATCCGTACAGTGCCGCGCAATAAGTTTGAAACTATTGTGACTTCTCATCAAAATCCACTAGTCCAAAAGTAATTTAACTTGTAGTTATAGTTATAGTGTCACATGATATTCAAATGCATTCATTTACCCCTATTTTTCCACTCATCTACACCATTCTCTATTCTCTCATTCATTTTTTCTATCTTCTTCCTCAAAACTTTTCTTTATTGAGTGGAAATATTTGATTTCCGGATGCAATTCAATTAATTAGAGCTAGTTCTGCAATAAACAATGCAACTACTAAACTACTTTTGCACTAGTGGATTTGATGAGAAGTCACAATAGTTTCAAACTTATTGCGCGGCACTGTATGTACTAGTAGTCAATAAACAACACATCATTGTATCATTCAAAATCAAATGGAGGCCCATCATTCGTTCAATTTTCTTCAGCCCTGTAGGAGTACAACGACCCAGTAGTCTGGTGCTCCGTCGTGAGTGGGTGTGCATCTTCACTGCTTTTCTTCTTGCTCAATTCCATAGTCCGCTTGAGTACCCGTTTCATAGCAATGATTCCATCATCACTTATTTCTATAAAATAGAATTGGTTATCTACCAGGGTTTATTTGAAATGAGAGAGGAAAGAAGGGAGAGAGAGAGGAGGGAAAAGGAAAGTAAAAAAGCTATCACTCACGAAAATGAGTAACAATCCTCCGTGCGAAAACTAGTACTCCTTCCTCCTTCGCGATTCTCTCAAATTCCGCCCCTGAAACCCCAGCTCTACCTAAATCTAACCAAACCATATTCGTCTCCTGACCAAGGCCAGGCATTACTGCACCTCCCAGCGCAATCCACTCTTCCTGCAATTCACTCGCTATCGCATTGGCTCGCATCAGAGGCTCGCCAGCAAGAAACACCTCGTCAATAGCGACGCGTGCGGGTGCCGAAATGATCCCAACTTGACGCATCGCGCCACCTAGCGCTTTGCGAAAATGGCGAGCGCGGGCAATCACCTCTGGCGATTTGGCGGCCAGGATGGAGCCGTTAGGCGCACCCAAGGATTTCGAGAAACACAGACTAACCGTATCGACATGCGAGCAGTATTCCCGGAGCAGGGATTTGGCGATTTCCGCTGCCTTTGCTGGGGACAAGCCGTCACTTGAAGGCGGATAGCACGCGTTCCAGAGCCGGGCGCCGTCCATGTGCACCTTCAGACCGTGCTGGTGGGCATATTCCGCTATGCGCCTGACTTCGGAGACAGGGGTGATTTGCCCATTGTATGTGTTTTCCAGCGCGATAATGCGCGTGGGGGCAGCGTGCACGTTGCCGTCGTCGGAGACTATGTTCGGGATGATAGATTCTAGAGGCAGGTATGGTTGTTGATTACCATTGGCATTACTCTCGTGCGGGCTGCTTAGCACGGGGATGAGGTGTGCCTGTGAAAACATAGAGGCCATGCCGCATTCGTGCACGAAGATGTGACTATGCCGTCCACAGATGATGGAGTAGGGCGGCTGCTGTAAAAGCGAGCGCAGGGCCAATTGATTGCCCATCGTGCCTGACGAGACGAAAAGAGCATTTCCCATGCCCGTCAACTCCCCGACATAAGTCTCCAGGGCATTAGTTGGTTTGTCTTGGGAGAAGACATCGTCCCCGTAACCAGGAGCTTCGGTAATCGTTGATGAGAGCATGCAGCTGCTCGGGAGAGTGACAGTATCACCTGTTTGGTCATGTTAAGGTATATGGTTTATATCTTATAACTGTGCTGTGTAGGCTTACTTCGGAAATCATGAGTGGCAGCGCGAGTATTCCGGGCCGCTTCGGGTATTATTGTTTGCGGGTGCATTGTGTTCGTTGATCTGGTAGCTCCCGGTGCTGACGGTGTTGTTGAAAGACTATGCAATGGAAAGACAATTCTACCCAATGGAATAGAATGCTGTCGTGAGCGACATATAAATGTTCGGGGAATCATTGCTTTTATTTGGCAACCGGAGCATCAGAGCGAGTGTTCAGTGAGGGGATGGACATTTACAACCGGAGATCGGCGGGCGATTTACACCCAGCCAAGAATTTGTAAATTTCTACATTCTGCGAAACTTACAAAAAACCAAGACTGATTAGAATATCAGATGTCAAATTTCAAGATCTCGGTGAGCATATAGGCTGTTTACATGTTATTTCAAATTCTCCGCCGCTGCCATCCTAGGGTTTGGCTCAGGGTTCAAAAATCTGTTTTAACACGTTTAAAATCACCAAAAATCCACTCTTACAAAAAATTGAATATCTCAACAATCATAGTTTCAATTGAATTCAAATAACTTATAGATGATATAGATTCTCAATGTAGCTTTAATCAAGGGTATTTCATACTTCTTGAATAACTTATTCAAAGAAAGATCAATTTATCATCTTTTTACTTTATAAATCAAGTTCAGAATAAAGTGTAAATATCTCTAAACTTTATTACATTAATTCATTTTGGCCAGGTTGTAAATAATAGCCTACCTTCAGTAACTTCATAAATCATTGACCATGGTTGGCTGTTCACTCAGCTCTCAACTCCCCTTTTGAGCTGAGATGTTTGTTCTCTGTGCTGTGCGCGTACACCATGCGAATGCTCTCACTTTGAACACCGGATCATTATGAGGGAACAATGCCGATATATAGCGGATTCAGGGCGGATTTTGAGGAGACGAAATATAACCCAACGGAAACACCCGATTATATTGCGTATCCAATGCTAACAATAAAGCCGGGCAAATTCATGCGTAAGAGGATAATAGTGTACAGATGCAGCAAAACACACAACAAAATGAACAGGAAAAGAAAGCCCAGAAGATATGACCCGTCCCTGTGCCTGTGCCGAAATCTACCTAATTGGTCGATGATCAACCCTCATCACCATTCCCGCAAAACACGCTTCAGTCATGCTCATCACAAGGCCCCTTTGATGGAGTGATATCAAACACACACCACACACACACACACACACACACACACACACACACAAAAGCCTTCTCCCCGGTGGACATCCAACCAGCCAGTCAGCCAGCAGTCCCCTTGTCAAATACATCCTTATAAGTGTGCGCATGCACACCCCTGAGACCAAAATCACATCTTCCTCCCATCCTCCACTCCCACCTCTTTCCCCTTCAAGTATTATTACACATCACCAAAATTCGCCCATCCCAAATTCCTCATTTGCCGCCCATCTGCCCCGACTGCATCATCTGCGCATTCTGCTCCTGGAAGCGCTGGTTTATGCGCTCAGAGCCCTTCATGAACTTGTCGAAGCAACGATTGATGCACCCTTGCTCGCGGCTGATGAGCGATTTGGTCGTGAAGTCGCTGACGCAGTCTTCGAAGCAGCGTTGGACGATGTTGGAGTATACCTATATATTCTATCATTTAAAACAAGGAAAAAAGAAAGGAAACATGGACAGGGCAAAAGGGAGGAGAAGGAGGGGAGGGGATGGAGGGATTGGTGTTTGTTTTGGTTTTGTTCGTTTCAGGCTTCATAAATTTTTTTTCTTTTCTTCTTTTGGTATGGGGACGGGGATGGGATTGAATTGGGATCGGAGAAAGTTGTACCGTCATGAATTCTTTCATCTGCTTCTTTTCCATGCGGTTTGCCAGCTCGCGCTGTTCGCTGGCATTTAGCCTAAACGCGGTTAAATACGTTTTTGTGTTAGCGACTAGCTGTTGTTTTTTTTTGTTGATGTAATATCAAGGGAAATCCAAGGGAAAAGAAATTTATATTGAAACGTAGGTAGAAAAGATACATGCCCGTCCATGATGTGATTGGTATTGCTGTGTTCTCCTTTATATTCTGCGAGGCAACAGGTCCGGGATAATTAGCAATGGCAAGGAGAAAGGGTGGTATGTGTTGGCCGCCTTGGTGTTGGGATAATGGAATGTTGAATCTGGCTTTCTATCCAGGGCCTGCAGGCTGAGGTGGGATATTATTTTTCCGATAATAGATTGTATGTCATGTGATAAATCTCAACTTCCAAGATTTTTTCACAGACGAACGACAACTCTTTTGCCTGACAGGCAGAGACAGTTGTCAGACCGATGACATCAGTGTCTCTGCAGTAGTTAGTTAGGTTACAGTAAAAATAAAGATGTCAGGACAACCTTGGAAGTTTAATCGAAAACTATATGCCTGCCGTTCAACATCAAATAACTCGGCAGAAAAATCTTGGATGCAAACAAAACATATTATTGATGAACTCGAGTTTTTCGTTATTACCAATTCGGCTACGACTTTGGTCCCGAGGTCCTCCTTTATCGTACGGAGTGCTGTTGACGTATTTTGTCTTGTCATTCCTATGCAAATTTCTATTTTCAGATGCTTGATCCTGGCAAATAATCGGGGTGGTAATAACGGCCCGTCAATCATCATAGGATTTCATTTCTTGCTTTTGCTCTCATGTCAACCAACCAACCAGCAGGTGACGATGTCGATGTGGCTATGTTGACAGACACATTATTCTACATCACTAGAACGTCTAGCATAGAAGATAGTTTGGATTTTTCTTTCGCCAATCTGGAGAGACTGGTGCCATGAGTACAATCGTCTTATTTTCATTTGTTCTTCATGGGTTTGTGGCTAATTGTTTCTTGTTGCGTCAGGTGAGACGCGTGCAAGGCACCAGCTTATAACCTGTTCTTTTGGGACCTGTGTTAAACAAAGGACGCTTTGACATTCCTGGAGAGCCGGGTTGCGTAGAATAAGGTGAGTGCGAAAAGAAGAAGAGAAGAAAAAGGAGAGAAGAAATGTAAATAAATAAAAAAAAAATAAACAAAACCTTATACTGCGGAGTCAGGGTCTAGCCCCCTATCTGTGTTGGATGGGTGAGACTTCTGGTTTTTGGGTTAGCAATATCGCTGAACGAGGGGAGTCTGGAAAATCTCAGTCGGAAAAACTTTTGGCATGGTTTACTATGGTTGTAAATAGTGCATACAATGTCTCGCAAAACGTCAAAAGGGGCTTAGGATTTGTTGAGGGTGAAAGCCTGCGAGATATCATATCTTGCAAGTTGTAGAGACACTAATTAGTGCGTGGAGCAGCGAACGCGACTTAAGTTCGGCCCACTTTTCAAAACCAATGTTCGATCTGTAAACCCCACCAAATGTTCTGAAACAATAAATAGTTACTATGCGTAGATGTGCCAGGTAACGAACAGATAGTTAAAGGTTGACGGATTATTTAATATTGGTCGTGGTCCATGGGAAATGGATGGTATTGACGCACGTGATCCAACGGCCTTCGAGCGTGTCCTATTCAATTCCCACCCAACAGTCATCGATCTGCCAGGCATGAATCAATTGTTTCAGTGGCTGACATGGCGAGAAGTCATTGGCATTGACTGTACTAGCCAGGACGGAAATAGCATCGGAAGACTCTTACTAGCGCTGTGTGCTCCTTGTTCTCTGGCGTTTCTGGGCTCCTGCCGCAAGCCATCATTCGACCATCAGCCACCCGTCAGCAGCGAGGCTGGGTAGTCAGCAGCGTTTCGCCCTTTGCGTCGCCCCCTTCGTTTGAACTTCATCATCACCGCCAACCACCACCACAACCACAACCACAACCACCAACACCACAACCACCACCGCTATCTCCACCATCTCCACCATCTCCACCATCACTCCCTCCTTGCTCCTCTCCGCATTCTCTCGTCTCCCATGAGCGGCATGGCCTCGTCGATACGTTGACTCGACTTCTCATATCCCGCCTACACTATTCTTATCCCGCGTTGCCAGCCTGAGTTTTGCTTTTTTTGTTTGGTGATGGATCTGCTCCACCAACTAATCTAACCGCCTAATTACAGAGTGCGTATTGATCGCGATACACCACCAACTTAAATATCCACCCGCCATCCAGCCCAACGGCGACCGGGCCTCTTGGATGGGAACGCCTCTCACTTATCTCCTCCGTCAATCTAGGGCCCCTCCGCGATTTCCAGCCATCATTCATTGTCCACCACCCGCCCGGAACAGCCAACCCCTCCATTCAGCCCCGTGCACTGGATTGCCGCCCTTCGTTCTTCTCCAGAGTTGCTTGTTGGCTTCTTCACGTCCGTCTCGTTCTCGTCTCCATCATTGACGCTGCCTCTTCAAAAACTCCAAGGGTCTCATGCTCTCTTGCTGTTCTGGATCGAGATATAACCGCTTCATTTCGGTCCTATACCTATCTCTCGGAACATTTTTTGGTGAACTTTACGTCCAAATAGCAACTATACCCGATTTACAATTTTCTTGATTTTGTCTGCGTTGCTGGCGCAAACCTTTTGCCTCTTATCATCTCACGATGTCCGCTGGCAACTCACAGCCAGCGCCTCAGGCACCTGTCCGTGACTTTCCACGATCAACAGCACATCAGCAACACTCTGTTCCGCAAGGCACGATATCGCCGCCATCAAAACGAGATCTAACGTCATGGTGGAAGCAGTTCGTGCGAAATACTAAGAAAGATGGGGAGCCAGGTAATACCCTTTTTCTTTCCTCCTTTAGCCTACTACCCAGTTTTTCCTGAAGATTCTGGTCCTCCCTCTCACGGCATGAATGACAAGACCCTACCAATCTGGAATTGAATGCATGGCCGCCACAGCCGCTGCGTCATTCTATCGCTGTATCTCATTACTAACGGGCGTCTGTTTATCATGGATAGCACAACCAAGCGGCATTTTCGGAGTACCTCTAAATGTTAGCATAAAATATGCAAATGTGGCAATCTCTCTAGCCGGGGAGGATGGATCCAGCTTTATATATGGATATGTCCCAATCGTCGTCGCGAAATGTGGCGTGTTTCTAAAAGAAAATGGTTCGCCCTGCCGTTTTCCTATATTTTTGTCTCTTGATCTAATCGATTTCTCTATTTAGCTACGGACGTCGAGGGGATCTTCCGATTAAGTGGATCCGCCAAACGTATCAAGGATCTACAAGAAGCCTTTGATTCTCCCGATCGCTTTGGTAAGGGTCTCGATTGGACAGGGTATACCGTGCACGATGCAGCCAACATCCTTCGTCGATACCTGAACCAGCTTCCAGAGCCAATTATACCCCTAGACTTTTATGAACGATTCAGGGACCCTCTACGCAAATACCAGTCACAAACAGCTGAAGACAAGAATACCACCTCTTCCAATGAAGAAGAACTGTTCGACCATGCTAAAGCAGTCACTACGTACCAACAGCTTATAAAGGAACTTCCTCCGTTAAATCGGCAGCTTTTGCTTTATATTCTCGACCTTCTGACAGTATTTGCATCGAAATCTGAAGTCAATCGCATGACGGCAGCTAACCTAGCGGCTATTTTCCAGCCAGGATTGCTATCCCATCCGGTGCACGACATGGCACCGAAAGAATACAAATTGAGCCAAGATGTTTTGATATTCCTTATTGAGAATCAGGATAATTTCTTGTTTGGCATGACCGGCACTGCTGCTGATGCACAAACAGTAAAGGCAATGCAGGCTGGAAATGCGACCAATAACGCCCGATCCACCCTTAGACGATCTGCCTCCAATGCAAGCGGAAAGGCAGATAGTATACGAAAATATGATACTCTCCGACGGAATGTGTCTGTCTCGTCTAAGCACTCCAAAAATTCAACATTTGATTCAGCAAGTCCCACCACCAACTCGATTGGCGGAGGAACGCTTGGCGTACATCGTAGCAACACTGTCCCTTCAAAAAAGGTGGTGGGGATCTCTACTACACAATTCACCCGCCCTCGTGAGCCAGCAGGCTCCGGATCCGGTCTCCCCCCGCCATCTATTCACTCCCGACGTCAATCCTCCGGTCAAAACCCTTCACCCAAACTGGTAGAAGATGCTGTTGACAAAAAGATATCTGACTCGCCATCTCCTTTGAACATGAATGACGGGTTGGGATTGGTCCAGAACAATGGGCACACACCCCTGGGTTCCCCTGATGAACTTGCTACGCCTCAGGAGCTAGTTGCTTCGAAACCGGGCACCCAACAATTGGCCGGAACCCCGACGAAAGAAAGGAAACTATCTTCTTTATTCAAGTCTATCCCACCAGAGGGCGAGCGAAAGGATGGGCGACAGCCCAACAGGTTGAGGAAGAAGCGCCCAGTTCCCGGAAGTGCAAGCGAAAGTGCGAGGAGTTCTAGCCACTCTTTGCATACTGGACCAGAGACCTCATCTGGAGCGTTAGTATCGCAAGCCGTAGCTGACAAGCGGGAGGGTTCAGACGATCAGTTGCATATGTCAACCCCCAAAGTAACAAATTCAGCTGCCACCCCTACGACTGACGCTACACCACAGCCGAACTGGGAAGTAAAGTCAGCCGCTCATGTATCTTCGGAGAGCACCCTGAAGCCCGGCAGATCGAGGACCCCGTCAATGCATTCGCGTTCATCTGTGACCGACCATTCTGATTTTGACCATCAAGATGATGCAACCGTACAAACGAAAAAAGACCACAGTCGTTGGAGACACCTCGTGGGGTGAAACGACGTGAACGGTCAGATATGAGCATCTCACCGCCACCTCCCATTGGATACAACTCAAAT